ATTTCTGTATTTATTATTGCATCCACTAAAATGAATCTATTTTATCTATCAAAGATACAAATTAGTTACCTGCAAACATAAATTTCCGAGAACATTTTACCAATTTATGTTAAAAAAAGTTTATTTGTTTACCACTTAAAATATGTTAATTTTTTATTTGCGTGTTTTCATCAAGTCTGAACAGCTTTCATCGTGCTTTGAATATAAGGAAAATTTCTTTATTAAACATTTCTTAAGACTAAGTATACTCTTAACTTAGTTGCAATTAATATTTTATCTTTAGTTGCTAAAACCCTGAAATGAAAATCAAATTAGTAAACAGCCTCACACGGTGGTTGAGATGTTAAATTCCTTTGTGTAGCATGAATTACAATAAAGTTATAATGAAATGTCAGTAGCAGCTCACGCGAGGACTAGTTCTTCCATCAGCATCTCGTCAGCTCGCTTATTTATATTCTAACATAATAAAGGCAATGATACTTTGTAACGAGCTGTGTGTGTACAGTCTTGACGTAGGGTCTAGGTGTTGGCTTTGTAAAAAACACACCGCGATATTTTGTCACACAGTCTTTATTGAAGGAGTTTTTGGTTAGTTGTTGTTTTATGTGTGATTGTGCTTCTTTTTATATATATATATATATATATATATATATATCTTGCTCCCATTCCCAAACTTAAAACTCCTTAGGGATGATTTCCTTCAGGCTTCCAAGTTATTAAACTATTTTATTAGTTGGGCATTTGAAGGAATCCTCATGTAATTATTTTCTCTAGATTAACTTTTCTTTGTTCACATTTCTAAACGTTATCTTTCTGACTAACAGCTGGCTGAAATAAATTAAAAACCGTTGTGCCACAAAATAATATTATATTTTTCACCACACTACGAAGTTTTTAGCCGTTTTACAAACGTTTATTGGAGGCCGAAAGGTGCATTGCTGTCCATGCCAGCTGTCATCGTCATTTTGGGACCGAGCAGGTTTTTACATCCCTAGGGCCAAAAATCATATGTGTACTTATTTTCCTAAATCATTAATGCATATTAAATACAAAATCAGTATCATAGCATTGCAGTAAACTTGTTTTATTGTCACCGCTGCCTAAGAACTAAGTTATTTATTATTTTTCCTGATTCCTCAAACTATTTCTTCATATAATCACAAAGTTAAAGTTGTGTTGAATGTTAGTGTGCATTATTATTGTGGAAAGTAGTGGTAATAGGGTATAGTGTGGTGAAAAATAGCGTTCGTACCACGAACCGAAAAGGTTTTTAAGCTCTCGCGAGGGTTGAAAAGAAAATGTTTGTCCATGTCATGAACTATATTTTTCGTCATGTCATGTTGCGAAGCTATTTAACAAACTAAGTTGGAAAACGAAAACTCTTTTCATGTAAAAAATAATCTCTGAAAACGACTTCCAGCTTGTTTTAAATTTTGGTAATGTAAATGAAGTGATTCAGAAAGTGTAGTTTGGATCTGAAATTGATTCGATTATTTCGTCTATTACTGTTCATTATGTCGAACTATAGACAATAATGCAACAATAGGATACAATTGATTAAATCAACCGATATAATATTGATACATGCGATGCTTATTGCTTACAATCGAAGTTTACAACTGTGAACAACAGCAGATTTATACTCCTGACTAAAAGGATTTTTACTCCCTAGGGTGTAGGAATGTTGCAATATCTTATTACAGCTATGCCTATGTCCTAGAGAAGGAAACTAGTGTAATATTGACATGGTAACCTTTTCAATTAATTTAAAAGTTAAATGTTAATAGATGCCCATTTGTATGCTTAATATGTAGGCGAAGTAACCGTTATATTAGAGTGAGGAGTTTGTTAAGGAATATAAATAATATGTTGAAGATACAGTATTTTAAAGAGAGTTTGAGTAGGAGTCACAAAGCTCCTGTAGTGTGACGGTGTGCTCGACGGTGCGTCTGATTTCATCTCTGTATTCGTAAACATTTCCAGCTAGGGACGTTCCGTTTCAACAAACAACTAAGGGAAAGAAGTACCTTATTATTGTGTTGACTTTAAAACTAAAATTCTTATTTTCCATAGTTTTTAAAAGGAGTTTTTACTCAATTATTTTTGAGATTTTGCACTCATTTTATTTATACATCCATTTTGTTTATACTATGCGCTTGATATGCTCATTCTAATACAGAATTAATATCTGTTGAGTACACCAACAAATAGCAGCTTTAGAAGGTTTTGCAATGTATGAATTAGGTATAACAGTATCTGGAAGGATGGTACATTTTCTTATATGGTGACCCAATACCCCATACTGAAAATTACAATAAAAGACGTGACCACACTAAAATGATAATTTCATTTATATCCTTATTGCAATAAGTCTCACAGCAATCAAGCTCTTTTTTCATTTGTTTCAAATTAAATATAATCCTGGGAACCCTTATGTGTCTTACTTAAATGTTTGCTTGACAGCTTTTAAAAATACTTTTAATGTAAATAATTATTCATTTTATAAAAAAAACTGAAATACATTGAATTTATTTATAAAAAGAAACTACTTATCTCTAAAGGCTGAATATCTCAAACCCCAATTACCTAAATGTATATTTGCTTATATTAGTTTTGTAGTTAAGTATCCTAATACGTGGTTTATATCTTTTATATGATTTACATAGTATGTTGTTTATATTTTTTTATGAATTGTGCTAGTTACACAACCAAATTTAAAGGTTAAATCAAAGGGGTAATCTTTTTTATGTTATCAGTGTTCTCTTTTACAACAAAACATTGTTGATTAGTGGTGTGTTGACAAATTTATTTTGTTTCCTTGTAGACCCTTCATAACTAGCTCTATTTGCATGTATTTATTAAAATTATTCAGTTTTTGTAGAATTAATTCCAATCAATTAGAATTCTTTATAGTACTTCAAAATTTACTATTCAAAAATTCAATCTGGAGAATTAACTAGATTATCGTTGAGCTCTGTTTTAGCGAGTTTCCCTACAGGGATGTAGCTATAGCTGCCTAGGTGGCAGGCAGGCACATGGAGTAGAACATTAAACAGCCTTTTATCCTGTGAGTGAACCAAGAGTAGAGTATATTTATAACTAATTACAGCTGATGTCATCACTTTGCCTAAGCTCTACATCTGGTACTTTGACCAGACATCAAAAGTTAATTAAATTGGAAGAAATCCTCATGAAGCTATTAACCTGTTTTAGCCCTAACTAGTTATATTCCTCGCACTATTTTTATCTTTTTTTCTTTTATATTGACGTGAAAGCCTTGTAAATTCACCTAAGAGTTACCAGCAGGAATTATGTAAAAATGAACTTATTACAAGGTACCACTTTGAAGTAGTATACTGTTATCTCTACATAATTGACATGATTTGAGGTTTTAATTAGTGAAAATTATAAATTTATTTTGTGTTAACAACTTGTAAATATTAAAGAATGTTTTCCTTTGTGATGTTATGTGCACTTTCATTTTGTTTTGTTTAATATAGACCTTCTATTTAATATATTTAGTTTGTGAACGTTGTCATTGGTTCCACAGCCCAAGAAAGTTTGCCTCTTAAAAAGGTTTCTTACAAATAAATGCTGGGAATCCAGCCAAGTCTGTGTCTATATTTTGTTATAAAAAACACATTCTGACTTGTATCTTGGCACGACTACAACATGATGACGAAATGACAACATGTAAAAATCAGCATTTATCCTATACTAAATTGTATGCCTGAATCAGTAACACGAAATATGAATCAAAATATGGTTAAGGGGAATCAAAATAGCCCAGTTTGAAGATGTAAGCTTTAAGAAAGACATAGTGTAAACACTTTATATTAAATGTTGAGTGTTTCATTTAAGCCTTTCTTAAAATATACCTAACTAAAATTCATTCAGTGTAAATAACAAGCACAACAATCGTGATACAAATTGTTGATACACAATTTTGTGTGAATTCAAATCATACTACAGTAGTATTATACATTGAAACAAATTCTAATCGAATGATAGTGGTAAAATGGACAATCGGTAAAAAAAAATTATGGATTACTTAACTGATCTGAACTGACGGGTTCAGGATTGTAAAGTGAAAAAATGAGCTGTATAAGATTGATTGTTGTGGGTTCATTAGTAATTGGTTGGTGATAGAAACCAGTGAATCACTAACTGAAGCTTGCCTATGTTCTGTTATCCTAATGCAACTAAGCAAGCACTAGACACTACAAAAGGAAAACAGAAACAGGACAAACTGTTTAGTCCTTTGTAGTAACTGATGGTTCATCAGTATTATATAACATTTAAATTATTTTATACTGTACAAACCTCAACATAAACATTATCTTTTGTGTATTTCTTACATTATTAAATAGGGTTCTGGTCTCCGATATTTTCGGGTCGGACGGGGTCCCACAGTTGGCCCGGGGGCTCAGTTCGGACTGAAATAATTATCGAGCCGAGCTTCTATTTTCGCAAGTGATATAGCGTCTGCAAAAATGTGCGATCGAAATTTGACTATTACTCTGCGATTGGGGGTTGTCACGATCGTGGTGACGTTTATGATGTCGCCGTGACCCCGAGAGATGTCCACGATATCACATTGACCGTGGAAGATGTTCACGAACAGCCGTGACCTCAGAATGTGTCCACGATCTTGAGGAAGATGCCAACGATCTTGCCGTGACCGGGGGAGGGTTTACGATTTCAATGTGACCGGGAAAGATTTGATTATTTTAATTTTAGGGGAGATCATGTACAATATTGTATGACCCGATTGCAGTGTTAGATTTCCCAATCTCGGATATTTGGATCAACCTGAGTTTGACTTGAGAACCGAAGGCCAACATTTTTTTACCCGATCTATAGTCAAAATGTCTTTGCCTACAGACCATTTCTATTCATTTCTTCACCATACCTGTTCCATTTCCTTAACACACCACTTCAAATTTTGCCAAAATTATTAATTCAGTCATACAGTATGTAAAGCAATACATTTGTTACAGGAGTGAATTGGACTAGTCTATGACCACCGCCCAGTCAGCCCACGGCTCTCTATGACTCCGCAGTCCAGACCCAGCACCCATGTGCAGCCTAGGGTTTAAAACTCGCAACAGCCCTTCTCAGAAGACGTCCCTGCGATGGGGCGATTGTTGTAAACCCTTCTAGCTTCTTCACTTGTTACTCCGTACCTACTGACCGTTGTTACTTCAAAGACTATTTTCGAAATTTGTTATAAATAATGAATTCTATATTTTTCTGGGGAGAAAAGAAGACTTTATATCAGATATAATATATTTTAGTGAAAGTGTATTTGGTTAAAAGTTGAAATATTTATTTTTATGCTAAATCAAGTCCGATACATATCTTTCGACTGAGAAAGGAAGTTTTTCTGAAAAGCCAAAGGACAAACAATCCAACGTAAGTATCAAATACTTAAATATCATAACCAATGGAAATTAAGGAAAGGAATTTAAACGTAAAGCTTTGAATATTTTACTTTCTTTCCTATCCATGGTATATGTTACGTTATGAAGAAAGCATTGTTTTCGTCAAAATCCTCGAGATTGAGTTTCGGGTGAAAATATCCGCTTTGGGTCCTCCTGAACCCCCAAAAAGTGGTTTTCAAAGTGATGTATGTGTGGAAGTGCACAAAGCTACAGACTAACGCCTCTGGTCCGATTTTGACGAAATTAGGTATGTGGGGGTTAATCTGGATTTTTAATGGTGATTTTTCTAAAACCAATCAAATGATGGAAAATCGGATTTTCACAAAAACGGCTTTAAGTTAACGGTTTTGATATAAATTTAGTATGTTCTGGTACTTTAAATTCCAAACAAAATTTTACAACCCCTTTCCTGTAAAAATTATGGTTCAAAATGTATTTCGGCTTTTATGATTTGTTTTCATAAAATATCATAATTAACTCTCACCACTCACTCGCAAAGGTTTTTTGACATGCTAAATGGGACAATGTATTTCATTGATTGATACCATTTATTTGTTTATAATATCATGTAGGAGAAGATATTTGGAAACTATTGAGAAGTAAAATATTATGCTCTGTTAGCTGCCCCTGTTGATAGCTGAATTATTGCTGGTAAACCCTTTTATACAGAGTGACTGAAAAGTAACTTGCAACCCCCATTAACTTTTCAACCATTTGGGATATTTGAAATTGGTTTGGGCAACGGCAATCTTCTTAGGTATGAGGGGCTACAATTATCATGGTTAATTTTGCAAATTTTGCCCTTAGGGGTAGCAGTGGTAAGGGCTATCCATAGTATATGTATCCATTTTAACAAAATCCCTTCATATCAAAACAGTTTGCCGCAAACCAATTTTAAATATCTCAAATAGTAGTTAAAAAGTTAAGGGGGGTGCATGTTAATTTTCCGCCACCCTCATGGTTATTTGGATTTGATACGTTTTAGGGCACCATTTTGTTATTAGGGGATTTTGGTTTTCTATATGTCAATTGTTTAGTTCCGTCAAGACTAGTAAAATGATACCAAACTCGACTATACTTGCCATTTGAAAATTTTGAGCTACCTCCTACCCCCGCTGGGTAAGGGCAACATTTTCAAAATTCCATCATTATTGTAGATCCTCATACCTAAGAAGGTTGCTTCAAACAGATTTAAAATATCTCAAGAGGTTCAAAATTTAAGGGGGTTGCAAGTTACTTTTCAGCCATCCTGTATTATAATGTAGGTTGGCAAAGGAAATGATTCAAAGGAAAACAAATTGATGCCAATAAGCTTGTGATGTTCATTGGTTCATCGTTGATGTAGTTGAGTAATCAGAACACTGCAATGTATGATAACTCGGTGTCTTTGCTACAAAGTTTGCTATGATGCCTGTATAATCTTTCTGAAAACAAAACTATCAAAACTTTGAAATCAAAATTTTAAATCTAGATTTTTGTTTAACTGGCTTAGGCTTTGTATTAGTCCTAAATCATTAAATTATAATAATCTTTGTCTGAAGTACAGTTGCATTTTGTGACAAATTTAACAGGTGCTAACTATGTCCATTTCATTATTATTATTTATAAATAAAAAGTTGTAAATTGTATTTTTATTGAATGAGAGAAGTCAACAAGTACGAGATAACAAACCAAGGCTCACCTTCCAGTAATGAGAACTTTCTGTGTGACACTTCTAACAAGTTAATTAATTATTACCAACTTCATAATTACATTTTGAGCACTTCATTTTTAATTAAAATCAAAACTCAAAAGATCTTCAAAATTAAAAAAAAAATCCAGTATTTAGCATTCACAAAAACATTACTAAATCAAAACCTTTGGTAAATTTTTACTCTAGGTAATCTTAGCATAAAATATCATACAAATACGCCAATTACAGTAATATGGAAAACAAATACTTTTTCTCATTAACATTATTTGAATATATATTGTTGTATATCTATAATATTATAAAATTGAGGTGGTGGTCTGTCTGTATGTGCGGCTCTCACAACTAAAATACTAAACCATAATCCAAATTAACCACAAAGATAGTCCATATATCTATATAGAAATGTCATAGGCCTATTCTCTCCCCTAGTTCCTCCCGGGCTTCGCCCCTTATGGATGTTCAAAGTTTTGAGGTGAGGTGCTCAAAAGTAAATATTGATTAGTCTCCATGGAAGCGTGAGAAAACTCACAATGTTTATCCTTGCGTTGAAATTTCAATGTAAACAAGAAGAACTGCCAAATGGGTCAATTATCATGACATTATTTTTGACATATAAATTGGTCAATCCATCTGAAGTGAATATAAAAATACTTGGTTGCTTGAACATTTTGTATTTTGACAATAATTGTATATGTTATTAACTTTATAATTATGACCTCAAAACAGTTTTTAAAATATTTTTATCTAGTTCTGTTTATAAGTTGCGGCCATTTTTGTCAGACCACGCACGGCGTTTTTGGGCTTTGCAGGCATCAGCAATAAATTAAATATCTTTTTACAGAATAGAGCTAGAACAATGAGACTTTTACCATTATTTTCAGTGAAATCCCTTCTATAAATAAGGTTCTTTAAACATTTTCTCTAAAACAAACACTAATGCCTTAAAATTGTCATCTTATTTTGACAATACTTTTTCAACAAAGTGTTCTTTTTAAGGCCTAGTTTTACAATGAAGGAATGAAATACCATAGGTAATGTGTTTTATCATGTAAGATATGGTAAAATACTTGCCTATGTCAGAATATTGAGTCTGAATTCAGTCTACTTAACTGTTTATAAGCTATTAAAAATTTAAATTTTCCAATTATTCAAAAGTTTGAAGTGCAATATTTCTGGTGGGGCAAACTATAAAAATCCAATTTGTACATATGTGATGTGTCTGTAGCAACATACAGCAAAAATCTCAATGTTGGTATTTGATCCAGACACGAGTTATAAAATTTCGAATTTAAAGGAAACTTCAACTTTTCGTAAACTTCTTATTCGATCTTTTTGAACTTGGTATCGTTTATATCGTTTTATAGGAAATTAAAAATGCTAAATAAAAGTGTTCTTGACATTTGTTCATACCATTAGCCGTTTTTTAGTAATTTAAGGTAAAAAAGTTAAAATTGCCGCCATTTTGAAATTTTAAGTTGAATCAAGATGAATTTTTTTTCTAACATTGGTCTTTTTTACCTTAACCTACGTACCAAGCTTCATAAAGATCGGTTGAAAAAATTCAGAAATGAAAATGTTTATGTAAAAAATACAAAATGACGGATATCTGGTTAACGAAGTGATTTTGGAAAAAATGTTATTCTTGATTTTCTCTTTATTTTGACTCAAGGAGTCACTAGGTAAAATATGTCCCCACCTTTTTTGAACACCCTGTATAGTCAATAGTTAAATCGTCTACACTTCATTTCCGTCATTTCGACAGCATTTCGGGTCATCTTCGGTCCAAGCAAATATAAATTGTTATGATAAAATTTGATGACATTAACAAAGATTTCAAATACTAATTTTATATGTACTTTGTTATGATTTAAGCATAGCAAATTCCCTAATCAAGTTCTGTATTTTTGTGTGTATGTCTGTTGGTAACGCATTAGCCTAATGTCCTTATTTCTCAGTGTTTCGGGGAAAGGACAAGAGCACCTTGATAATGAAAATGTCAACCCGAATAAAGTGTTCAATTGTGAGGTTGAGGTAGTACCATACTTTTAACCATTGTGGAAAGTAACTTTCAATTATAGGCCTACCTTAGGGCTATGCCTCATAGATCTATAAAGCATTTTTTAGTTTAATCATTGAATTTAACATGGACCAACACGATCGCGATGATATTTAATTGGGAAGCATTTGTTTTGGCTTAAAACTGTCAGATACTGTATTTGCGAAGGTTTATATGTAATAGTTTTGCCAGCATATCTGAAAATATGCAAACCAACTGCTGTTCTTAATATAAGAAGGTTTCAACTGACTTGCATAGAACGGGCACACAGCTAGTCTTAAATAAAATAATTAACACAACTATGTAGTAGGTTTGTTTATTCTGAAACTATGTCTTGTCATAAATTATATGTTATGATTTTAAGGGGACACCTGTTCTTCAAAACTTATTTCTTCCTGATGCAGCTAGTCTAATATAAGAGTCTTATTAAAGTTATTCATAATCTAAAATATACCATGGTTCTAAAAAGATAAAATTACAAAAAAAGTACCACATAAAATATATCAGTGTAGTTAGAGTGATATATGAGAAGGAAGGCAGCAAGAATTTTTCTCAATTATTCAACAATTATGGAGGAAGGGTGTCTTATCTGTGATCTCCCCTCCTCTAGTTTCTAGCTCTACCCTCATCCTGTGTCAACAGCCAATGTAGCTAATAGTTTTACTGGGCTATTTAAAAAAAAATCAGAAAATTGACAATTCAATTGTTTAGCAAACAGCAATATCTATGTTAAAATATCAACTTTTAATTAAACACTTTTTTACTACTTGAACAGCATTGTGCATGGATGTAAGCAGCTTTTGTTTAACAATTTAAAATGTTATAAGCATAGTGACCAAACCAGTTAAAAGCAATGCTAGTACCATTAACCTATATACCATCATTTAAGGTATAAGGTATAAGCAATGCTAGTACCATTAACTATATACCATCATTTATGGTATAAGGTAGAAGGTATAAGCAATGCTAGTACCATTAACTATATACCATCATTTATGGTATAAGGTAGAAGGTATAAGCAATGCTAGTACCATTAACTATATACCATCATTTATGGTATAAGGTAGAGGGTATAAGCAATGCTAGTACCATTTAACTATATACCATCATTTGAGGTAGAAGGTATAAGCAATGCTAGTACCATTAACTATATACCATCATTTATGGTATAAGGTAGAAGGTATAAGCAATGCTAGTACCATTATAACTATATACCATCATTTATGGTATAAGGTAGAAGGTATAAGCAGTGCTAGTGCCATTAACTACATACCATACACAATTAGGATTTACCACGAAACAGTGAGATAACAGTTTTCTTTGAGAGGATAAAAGATATTAGAAACCCTACAAGTTGCCCTGCTATGTGTGGGAGCAGTAGGCTATTGATTCTCTGAAAAAATCCTGTCCTTGGTAAAGATTTAGGCCTATTGCACATTTTGTGATATTTATAGGAATGTATGCTATTATTAGGTGTTGTTTTATAAAGAGTACCCCATTATACAGCTTGCGTGTGTTCTTTTTAAAATACTATCAATAATGGTGTTGACAGTAAGAAAATTGTTTACACTTTACATAATCTGTTATTAGGTTTTTTAGGTTTTGATGTTACTGTAATTTTAGAAAAACTGTACCTATGCTCAAACATTAAAAAAATATATCAATGGAAAGTTAAAACCAATTTGGAATAATCAATAGTATTTCCAAAATTCTAAGCAAAAATGGCTACCCTTCAGCGAATGAATGTTTTGTATAAAAAACATCATATTAAGCTTTTTGTTTTATGTAATTTATCACAAACTGTATTAAAAGTAAATTTTCGATTCCAATTTGAACCTAACCTGTCACTGGTAAAAAAGTGCCAATGATCCTTTTGTAACACAAACAAAATAGGTGTTCCAACCAGTTCATCTTCAAGCTTCCCACTATGGTGTATGTACAAACAAGATCGGCGGTTTTGTGATGGTTCTTTGATTATTGGTGGTAACAGCAATAATCTTATATGTAATTTACAGTCAACATGTTAATGTACAATGCTGTACTCATTTTAAGTAAGATCCAAACCTGGCCAAAAATTATTTAAACAGTTGGCCATTTACTAGATCACAAATTTAGGTCTATCCAGTACAGTACCGGTAATTAGCCAAATTGGCCATTCAATAGGATTTGATTTGATCAATTTTTCTTTCAAAGTTCTGGGGCCTGTTTCATAATAAACTACAAACTAAGCCTGCCCTTATGATCCCTCAGAGCGTTCGGTCCAAGGTTGAGTTGTTGAGAGTACACACAGCCATTTGCAAGGTAAAAGAGTACAGGCTGGCCAGCATTAATTCTAAGGAAGACAATGTCAATATAAAAATGGTCACCCCATCTCAGACCAAATGCTAGCTTAGTTTTAGTATTTTGGAGGTTTTTAAGCCTCAGTAATCATAGTTTTGACCAACTTCAAGGTAAATGTGTAGAAACAGTTGTGGACACATAATTTTCAAGTTCAATGGGAGTAATCCTGTATAAAATTTCATATAACCTACATAGAAATATCTGCATAGAAACAATAGTTCAGTCAATCCATTTCAAGTGTTTATTTCCACTAATATTTCTTAATTTTATACAATGACACAAAGAGGCATTGAATTATTTCAAAAGAGTCATAGTAGAAAGGTATATATCTAAGTAACAAGAATAACTAAATGGTTTATCATACTCGTATAAGGTGCAACGCCTCACCTCAGCTATACATACAACACATTATTACACCTTTAAATGTGTTTTCAGAAGATGATAAACGTATCAGGAGTAATCTCCATTGTGCTGTTCTACCTTCTCATCCTTGGAGTCGGCATCTGGGCAGCTCGCAAGAAGCAAGCTGGCAATGACTCGGAGGAGGAGGTTATGCTGGCTGGCCGCAGCATCGGACTGTTTGTTGGGATATTTACCATGACAGGTATAGACCACATCAATATTTCTCTGTATGGTGTGTTACTCTTATTACTACGAGGGCTGTTCAAAAAGTAACGGTTGGAATGTTTCTGTATGGTACTGACCATGTTTTATATTTATTGTTTCGTCTTCTCAATGACTGTCCATCCGTCACCGCAGAAGTGTCATTGGGCTGCCCATTATCGAAATTTTGAAGATTAAAAAGTGTGCTGCAGTTGAAAATTCCACTCGTTGTGAGGTGTGGTCTGGTGGTCAGTAATAAGATTTTTGTTTACCACAAACTTAAAACCTATAAAAATGTGTCCTACTAAAATGTGTGATGTGCTACGCACCATAAAGCTTTCTATAGACTTTTCATTAACTTAGACCTACAAAATTCCTTTGGCTAATAAGTTAGCCCACATTGAACCCAAAGTCATTTCTTTCCTAATAAAGATAATTCCTAATTTGTGTTTATTTCTGTCTAATGAGGTAAGTCTTTATCTTAATCTTATAATAGGCCTATATGAATTATTGAATAAAGAGGTTTGGTATGTTACAATATATAATTTATTAATGAAATACAAATATAAGATAAGTTATTGGTTGAATTAACTACAGGGTAAGTTAACAATGGTAAATTTTCAAAATGGTGGGGTTTCCAAAGTGGATGATATTATTCTAGGCTTATTGGGTTGGTTTCTTCTAAAGTACTAATTAATATTTGAATATGAGCTCTTAATCTCAGGGAGGGGTGGTCGTGCCGGTTCGAATGATATATTAGGCTTCTTTAAAATGTAGATAATTTAATTTAGTTATTATTCTGAAATACTAGGTTCGTGATGCTATTAATATAATAATGTTAAATGTCCAAAGAAAGATTCCAAATGGTTTCACTGAATTTATTGAAATAAAATAGAATTTGAAGATTAAATTTGGAATAAAAGTTCAATTTGAAATATGTATATATCTTGATGAGTTGAGTTTTGGGCCTAGTAGGCTATACTGATTAAATGTCCAATGAAGATTAAATTTGTCCTTAGTTAAATAAGATGGCTGATGGTTACCAAATTTGGAGTGTCTGTCTTCTTATAAATTGGTACTCTTCAATGCACTTGTCCAATACTTTTGGATGATAAGAAATTTAAAATTTAGGTTTTACTTTGGGATTATAAATTTTAGTTTAAATCAAACACAATTTCCAATAGAATGATGTTCACACTGTGAAGAGTTGGCAGGATCTGGGGAGAGGCAATGGTAGAAGCTCAGGAAGTCCATGTCCATTGTTGAAGTGATGTACAGCTGGTTAATTTACATGAATGACACTTGCCACAGTAATTTTGATTTTCTTTGGATAATTTTGAAAAGTGATACTATATTTAAGATTTTATTACTATATTGCAATTTTCTTACAATTATATATTATTCTAAATAAATGATTATTGTTGGTTTTTGATAAGTACAGGATAGGTATGGAGAGAATTGGCATAAATATTATATTGTAACATAAAATAGCATGATGTTTCTGTGAGGTGATGGGATATTATATAACATTGAACAAAATTGGATAAAATAACACATTAACAAGGGGAACAAATTAAATAACTGATAACACATTATCAGGGGCATTAACAGACATTATGAGAGAAAATATACAAAATAAAAGAGAAATTAATGTTAATGATGAATGAATGACATGTAATATTACAAATTTATTCTAAAACAATGTAATATATGAAAGTTCTACTCAGAAATTGTGCATTCAGTTCTAAACGTCCAAACTACATACATATAATATTGTTACGTACAAAATTTTGATTTTGCATGACAATGTCCGACATTGTGGGGAAAATCGCACATTCTCTTTTAATATCTCTTTCATTAATTTATATAGGCAAGTGTTACAGTCCAAACCTTGTTCGAAGTCAGTTTCATTTGTTTCCAAAATTAAGTCTTGGTTAGCAGCACAGCGCTCTAACGATGACAAGGACCTCTAATTGCGTGTCACCGAAACGTTGAGATTGCAGGCAGCAGTACTCTACCACGAAGGAATATTAAAGCTTGGCCACCGCTATATGCAAATGCCTCAATTTCCTTTGTGACTGTGTAAAAGAGTAGTATTTTAGTTGTTCTTTAAATGGTGTATAGTAAATTATTTTCTTATATGAACTATTACATACCAAAATTGTCTTTTCTTTCTGAACAGCTCTCGTATTTTATAAAATGGGGTCCCAGTTCAGATATATTATCAGCTAAGTATGTAAAGTAATTTTTACATTTCATTATTTGATATTATATACTACATGAGGTATGTATGTTCCAGCTACTTGGGTGGGAGGTGGATACATCAATGGTACCGCAGAAGCCATCTACACACAGGGGTTGGTCTGGTGCCAGGCTCCCTTTGGATACGCCCTCAGTCTTGTCTTTGGTAAGCAAAGAACTAATTTTTTGTACTTTTCCAGTCAAATGATTCAGGGAGCTCTATATTCTTCAAATTGCATTTCTAAAGAATCAATTTTTAACCATAATGTAGAACATGCAATAATTCAATATAACATTATTATTTTATTCAATGCAAAAGGGGTTTTAATAAGTCAAAAGTAAAAAATGGACCATGTTATGTTCTACAACTAAAAACTCTTCTAAGTTTGTTCTTCATTCATGCTGGAATTCTATGACAAATTTGATCAAGACCATTGGCCGCCCGATTCTATTTGCAGGTGTTGTGTTTTTAAACTTTAACATGGATGATTAAACTTGCTTACTACAACACAACAATTAACTGTGAATATAGCTCCAGTATAAGACCCCATAAGATTTTGTAAAACCCTATACAAAACCCTATATTGGTCCAGTCAGTGTCACAATTGTCAGATCACATGGGATTTACTAGCTAGGTAACTTCCCTAACTAGGTAACTAGGTTACTTTTGGAGGGTACTTAGGTAACTAGGTAACTTCTATTGGGTTGGGTGTTAGGTAACCTCTACAAGTTATCAATCAGGATACGGACTACTGTCTTGCAGCTTGCAATATGTTTCTCTGCTGCCTACACTGTGCTCTATTGCAGTTAAGTAAGTCATTGGATGTCATCACATCTACAGTTGGACTATAGCTAAATTAACATAAGTTCTAATTTTATATAACAAAAAAAATCTTTAAGCAACAGAGTCAAAGAAAGTTTTGCACACCAATAAAATGTTATACCGTATGTCAATTCTATGTTTTTTTACATGTTTCCTGAAATAAGCATTAGATAATACATTAGAATGACTATGCATGATTATTTCATTTTCACAAGGAGTAAATAAAATCAATCAAGCAGTACCAAAACCTCCTTTTTTAACATACATCTTTAGTTGAATTACGAAATCATTAATTAACAGCTGTGTCTAAGGAATATGTTGGCCTTAGTCACTAACAAGACTACAAGATTGCGCCACTCATCCTACACTCATCTTTCACTCTTATTTGGGTTAAAATAGGCACATAGTGCTGTTCCCATCTTAATTATTGATATAATAATTGATAAAAAGGATAAGCATATAAATGACATGTTTAAAGACTATTTATATTTAATTTTCCACATTTTTGATGATAAAGCTAATATTTTTGTGGTAAATTATTTAGTACATTTAAAAACCCAAGTTTTTAAAATCGTACATTTTATTATGAAAGCTGTTGCTTGTAAGCTCTTGATTGTAGTTGTAGTTTTGTTAATTAGAGATTTGAATTAGTAATCAGATTCTTTCCCTGAACAGGCGAAACGCCACTCTCCTCAGACTTTGAGCTCAGCTTTTAATTGGAACGCTTGTTTACAAAACACACTGTTAATTAGAACACATGCATATTTATACGTTGTTTGACATTCTTTATTGCTTGTCATGTCAGTTCACAAAAATTAAGTCAAGTGTGAAATACCTTCAACATGTATGTTCATGGTAACATTTAGTACCTCCTCCCTTAGTTCCCGGTTCTCTATAACATTACTGTACCAAAGTTAAGGTAGCATACTCACTCAAAGAGCATACCCATGGTGGCAGACTACTGACGAGTTATGTTTGTGTTTCTAGGAGGCATATTCTTTGCCAACGAGATGAGGCGACAGGGCTACGTGACCATGCTGGACCCGCTACAGGACACCTTCGGCTCTCGCATGGGAGGACTGTTGTTCCTTCCAGCTTTGTGTGGAGAAGTCTTCTGGGCAGCTGGCATTCTGGCAGCTCTGGGTAGTTACACAATAATTCAGATTATTATTAGAATAGTAATTTACAACTCTGATATGACGCCAGGGTTTGTATATTAAGGCGAAGATGGCTGAAGAATGAACGAGTGTTGTACATTGGAGATGATAGCTTCACTGACTAAGATCAGCTAGCTCTTTAGCCAGCCCCTGGAAAACATAAAATCTAATAGAATTCCTATATAAGATAAATTAACTAAATTGTTAAATTATAAAGTTGTATTAAAAGCCCAATGATGAAGAACACCTGGGTTGTTGGAAACCTCTTAACGTTTTAGTGGCCACGGAGATAATATAAGGTACTAAGTGATAGTATGCAATGAAAGGTGGTGGTAAGTAGTAGCCATTTATAACCAGTGTGAAAATCTGTCTCCAATCTCACTTCAAGGCTTTTCATATCGACAAAGTTGTTGTTTTATTGTAAAATTATTGGGTTTATAATGGGTGGCCCCATGACATTTTTGTAGTTTAACATGCCAAAAACATTTAACAAAGAAGTTCCCAAATAAAAATGGGTATAAAAAAAAGGTTTTTGATATTTAGCTCTTTAAACTTATTAACGTAATATCTATATTCATTTTCTCATATTGTTACGTAAATTCTATGGTCCTACTTTTTTTCCATTTTGTTTTGTCATGAGAGCATGAAGCTCCCTGACTGCAAGCCCGGTACCTATAATTAAACATGACCGGGCCCCATGATGTAGGCCGAAACTAATGCACCAACCTTTGGCACATCATGGGAGGATGACTTAAGGTCATCAGGCTCACCGGCTGCCGAAGCAACCCTTCGGAGAGAGGGTTTCCCCTCAATCCCAACCAGGGATACCGGCTACTTGTTTAAGCGTCACTCCACCTGGGTTCCCCCAGGTACAAAACCCAGAAGGACCATAATGGAATGCCCTGACGCATTTAGTGAAAGCAACACTCGGGACCTATCCAATCCCTGACAGGCAGAGCCCGCCATCAAAGCTAGGAAGAAGGGGACCACAGCAAGCTGATGGGGGAAACCCCAACCACCTATTTACACCACTACCCGATCGAGGCCTTACCCAGTTGCTGGGAAACCAGAGGTGACCAAGGCGATAGATCCCTGAACACCCCTAGCGGGCTTGAACCCAGCACCCGATCTACTTCGTTTGCCCGTCCAGCCCAACATCACTGCCAGGCCATCAGGGTTTCCCAAAAGGAGGCAGGAATAGAAGTGGGTCCCACCCGGATGAACCTATCCACCAAAGATGGCGACACCCTTTGCTCAATTGAAGTTCCAGGGAGAACTCCCCACACTCTAGATAACCATACCTTCCGGTCTCAGAGACAGGGATTGGCTGATGGAGTGTGCCCAGCCGTTGCCCTCACACTGCAGAAAGTTACGCTCCCCTAGAGTGTCCCCGTGAGCTTACGGGTACTTGCCCGATTTCACCCCCAGGAAAGGCTACTTCCAAAGTCGAGGATATGCCACACAGAATGCTGGTCGCACAGAGCAAGCAGGCCGAAGCCCAAAGAACCATAGTCACAGGTAGATGGGAGATTGATGGCGCACTTCCACCTCTCCGAGAGCTAAACACCCTACCAACCTGGATCTATGGTCCTACTATGGTAATCATGGTATTCATTGGCTATTGTTTGTTATATGGTCCTTTGATTAATTTGAAAATAATAGTTGACTAACAACCCTGCGGCCAGATGATAGCATAATGCTATTATAGGCAGCTACTGTTATGCTCACCAGGGTTGCCACCATACTTGTAAAATTATGACAATATCGTACTTGGGGGTATGTCACACCCCCGCGCGCATGATTAAGGGTTAATTTTGCAATGTTTGAATTTATTGGAAGAAAGCTGAATTTATGTTCTAACAGGTATTGGGTAGCATATTGGGAACTTAAGAGGTTAAGCATTACAATAGGTAAATTGTTTATGTTCTGAAAAAAATGAACCGTATTTAAAGATTCCACAGTAAAAAATAAACGGTTAAAGTAATGTTAGATGTGAGTTTAAAAATTGAACTGGTAGGAGTTACCCATAAACATGCATGGCTATTTAATTACTTCTTTGTAAAATTACAGTATGGTTTAAAAAATGTTTGACCGGTAGCTTTCACTACTACTTTAACACTGTTAACCACCAATACTAACTTTTAACATATCCCTTTAGACAAAAAAATGTTGTATAACTCTTAAATAAATATGACAAATCACTATCACAATTTGACTTGATGATTTTTTTTGTTATAGGTCCCACTCTGACACTCATACACAGACGTCATCCAGCTCTTCTGTATATTCATTGGTTATTGTTTGTTATAGGTGCCACTCTGAGTGTAATCATAGACATGGACCACAGGACAAGTGTTGTCTTCAGCTCCTGCATTGCTGTGTTCTACACTCTGTTTGGAGGCTTGTACAGCGTCGCATACACAGACGTCATCCAGCTCTTCTGTATATTCATTGGGCTGGTACGAAAAATGAGTACCTACAATAGCATATTATACATGTTTAACTCTGAACAATGTTGAGCAGTGATGTGGTGGAGAGGGAACGGTTTTCCTGCTTTGCTTTTTCCAAGAATCCTATTTATTAATCCTATATAAGGCTGTTCTTTAACATGGATTCTTCTTAAACTGGAAAATGAATGTATGACTACAACACTGCTGGTGAGCTCTCACTGAGTACTGATGGTGGTGATTATTGTGTGTGTAATATTAGTACTGGTGTGTTAAATAATCATACTTTAATCTAAAACGAGTTGTTGGCCCGTGCTACGTATGGAATTGAGTAGTCCATTAAAACTTTATATAGTGTGTCTTGTGATAGAAAATATTCCCAGCTGTTGTTGGACATTGTTATTTTATTTGTTTATGTTGAATGTTTGTAATCATTATTTCATTCTCTAGATTTAACTCTTACTTATGAATTCCATTACTTGAATTGTGTTAAATAAAGCCTACTCATTCAAGGCAAACAATCTTTATTCTTCAACAATTTATTTAACACAATTCAAGTAATTGAATTCATAAGTAAGAGTTAAATCTAGAGAATGAAATAATGATTACAAACATTCAACATAAACAAATAAAATAACAATGTCCAACAACAGCTGGGAATATTTTCTATCACATTCTTCCCCGCTAATATAATTTAAAGTCTTTAAGGTGAGAAGGTAGTTTCTTCTGTCTTGAGCTTCGTCTCTGTGATTGTATTTAACACAATATCTGCAATCATGGAAAAACATTTTGCTCCAGCAAAACTTTCAATAGATCCAAACTCTTCAACAGCAGCAATGGAATGGAATCACTGGCTCAGGACATTTACAAATTTTATTGAAGTGACAGAAGCAAATGAATCTGAGAAATTGAAACTTCTAATCAACTACGTGGTGCCTTCAGTATATACTTATATCAGTGAATGTTTGAATTTTAAAGATGCAATTGGTAATCTTCAAAATCTATATTGTAAGCCAGTGAACGAAGTATTTGCTCGCCATAAGTTATCTACTCGTCAGCAACAACCAGGAGAATCAGTTGACCAATATCTAGAAGCTTTAAAGATACTCAGCAAAGACTGCAATTTTAAAGCTACTTCTGCAGAAGAAAATAGAGATGACTGCATTAGAGATGCATTTGTAAATGGTCTGATTGCTCCACACATTCGCCAGAGACTGCTAGAGAACTTTAAGCTGCCTCTTCAAGATGCTTATGAACAGGCCCGTTGTTTGGAAAGTGCACAACAACAAGCCCTCCTATATCAACCCAGCTCAAATCTCAATTCAGTTTTAAAACAAGAAAACTCAATCGTTCAAGACGATGATACAAAGAATCCAACCATAGCCGCTACTTCTGGGAGTAATAATAGATGTTTCTTCTGTGGATTCAATAGACATCCAAGAAATGACTGTCCCGCAAGAAATTCTTACTGTAAAGGTTGTGGTAAAAAGGGTCACTTTGTTAAGGTATGTAAGTCTTCCTCTCAAATAGATAAATCAAGTTTTGGTCAAAACTCAAAAATTAAACATACAACTTCATCTGTCATAAGCCACATAAGTTGTTCTTCAAGTTATCCCCTAGGTCTTTCAAAAGCTATTGTCCCAGTTAATGTAAATGGTAAAGCAGCTCAAGCCCTAATTGACACTGGTAGTACCACTAGTTTCCTGAGTAGTGACTTATAGTCTAGGCATATTAGGAAAGTTAGCAGAAAGTTTAGGTACAGTCCTAATCATTACTTTTCTTTATGTTTTTTGGGTCGCTGAACACGAATATGAGGTTTGCTGACAGATATTTTGCCCGGAACATTGATTATTTTGTGAAAAAACTAAAAATTTGGGCACTTTTTTGGTTTTTCGGGCAAATCTCGGTAAGTATAGGTTTTTGAGAAAATCCTGCTTTGTAAAATTAAAGATGACAAAATTTACTACAAGTTTCCTATATAATGTTTGTTTCTACGACGAACCGTTTCGCCACTAGAGCACACTAAAAAAGGCCAGAAGTACAAAAAATTAAAAACATTGCTAAACGCTGCCGTTTTACATTAGGTTTCCATGGAAACAACCCATGTTAAGATAATTTAAACTATTTATTCATGATAACAAACTGAAAGACACTTAAAAATACCCCCGCCACAGCAAACCTGCAGACTAAGCGAATTTCCATTTCCCTGATTGGATTTACACTAAAATTTCTCCTTAGAAATATCACATTTATTCCTTATTTAAATAAAAGTTTAACGAGTACTTAGGTTTGCTGCAACAGGGAGGGTAAAAAGGTTTTTTTTTTGTCAAATGTAATAATTTGGTATGAAATGAATATATTTTCCAAATTTGATAAGAATAACATGGATATTTTAAATTTACAGATTTTTTGGAATTTTCTCCGTAACCATTTGGCGCATAACAACGCTTTAATATACCAAATTATTTGTTTTTTTAAGCTCTACAAAGAAATCGCTAAATTTTAAGTTTTTAGGGTCAAAAATAGGAAAAACCAATTTTTACCCCATAAAACCCCCCATAAATCCCTGTTCCCATAGCCCGATCATGCTGGTTCGCGAACTCGTTCGAATAGACGTAGGTTTACAAGTTTGTCCCAATTTTCATCAAAATCGGATGATTTTTGTCGAGTTCTCGCCCTAACGGACACATATATGAATTTGAACGGATGGTGTTTTTGGTCTCTAGGGGCCTCAAAACGAAAAAAATAAATCGGTCCGGGGTCCAGGTCTTGCCATGAGTAATACGGTAATAGCTTATTCCCTATAGGGGAAATTCACTAATAAACTAACTAGTGTGTCTTCTGACCACAAAACTCAACCTGAAAGAAATACACGTCTTTTAGGATTAAATTGTGGAAAATGGAGACAATCTTTCTTTTTATAATGTTAATAACCTCATGAATAGGTTGGTTGGTAGGTTCATGTAATTCACTCTCTTCGGGTTGAAGGTTGGCATTCCATCCATTTTTTTATGGGCCCAAGATGAGAGAAAACACATCTTACACATCCTCATTTGCTTCTAAGGCTTCCTCAAGGGTCCAAGGAGGACCAAGTTTATCTTTAAATATTCTCAGCTGCTACAGTTTTCTTCTTTATAGCAAGGCAAGGAGTGGTGAGTATGTTGTGGATTAAGTTTTTCTTGGTTGATGCTTGTTTTTATGGTTGTAAGGTTGATGCTCTGGCCATAACTTTTGTGTAGTAGGAACCCACCATCAATAACATACTGCACTTGACCATGGAAGTGCTTGTTTTCAATGGGGACAGGGGCTTTAGGCCTTTAAAGATTTGATTTGGTTCTTTGTGCAAACCGTTATTATCAAACAACGAGAAAGAGTATGGACCCAGTTCGTAGGACAAGAAGTGTTTTAGTTCTTCATCAGAATTCTTAGCGATGCTGATACGTTGAAACAATGTGTTGTGGTTTACGGGTAAGAATTCTCTACTTTCATCGCGTTATTTACTATGGCAAGTGGCTGGACACGGTCTACTCGTCTGAATTTGACGTTACCAAAGTTAAAAGTTATCTACAACTCTTTTAATGTATTTCATCCTTTTTTTCTCAATCACTATAGCAGTCAACCCTGTGGCCAGCAACATCCCTGTGCTGAGAAAGTAAATGGGGGTTTTGTGGGAACGGGAAATGTTCCAGCAGTCAGTCATACATCTTGGCATAGATTTATCAAGGGTGTTTAGTTCATTATCATGAATAAATAGTTCTAATTATCGTAACATGGGTTGTTTCCATGGAAACCCAATGTAAAACCTTTGTAAAACGGTTAGGGTTATCATTTTTGGTTTTGCCCAGCATGATCGGACTATGGGAACAGGGATTTATGGGGGGTTTTATGGGGTAAAAATTGGGTTTTCCTATTTTTGACCCTATAAACTTAAAATTTAGCGATTTCTTTCCATACTATTTTGTAGAGCTTAAAAAAACAAATAATTTAGTATATTAAAGCGTTGTTATGTGCCTAAAGCCTGGTTTACACGGGTCGAGTATGTCAGACGAGTTATTCGGCCCAGTTACTAGGCCCAGTTGTTGATTTGTTCAACTCGTCCGGTACTTGACTAGACTGTCTACACGCATTCCTATTTCAATTATTTCAAACAGTGACAGTGTAGGCACAGAGAAGTAATTTTTATTATTTCACTATGGTGTAGGGTATTCTGTATACCGCAGCTTTCGAGTTAATTGTTGTTTGAGTTTAAAAATGACCATTCAAGAGTTTAATACTGAAGATAGATAATTAGATATAAAACTGAATCACCACTTAAATTCAGAGGTTGCTTAAAAGTTTTTTTTGCAAAATAACGGTGATGAAATAGACCAAAGTGAAAGGTGAAATTCTGGAAGATAAAAAGATTTGTTACAAATTACCTACTATACTGTATCTCTTTAAAATAATATATAAAGACAGCCAAAAGTTGCCTCCAAATTAAAAATTTGAAAACACCGTTTTCAATGTGTTCATTGCATAGAACACATTTTTAGGGAGTGAGCTTTCTCGACCCATTGATAAATAAAATCGGTCCAGAACTGTAGAACTGTAGATCTTGTACAACAATTTTGAAAACTGAATTCTATAAGAGTAGATTTACGAGACAATGCAACACAATACTGTGTGTGTTCAACTTGTACTTGTACAAAATCACTCGTACTGTTCATATAAACCATTGAGCATTGAGGGTGAGATAGGCCTACACTACTCACTGAACTAGCCTCAATACTGATCGTTGTATGTGATCGACTCACTCAGCGACCACAAAAAATAAATTCTGTGGTCGCTTGACTCACTTGATATCAGTACACAGGTGTTTCGCGGGCAAATCGTGGTGGTGGGGGTAGCTACTGGGCCGAGCAACTCGGTTTTCAACTAAATCACTCGACTCGCTCTCAACTGACCTCTTTTTATCAACTCGCCCGTTGCTCGACTCGCCTGCATGTCTACACCATGCGAGTTAAAGAGCGAGTGGCAACTCGCACACTGACTCGCCCGCCGTACTCGACCCGTGTAAACCAGGCTTAATGGTTATGGAGAAAATTCCAAAGATCTGTAAATGTAAAATGCCCATGTTATTCTTATGGAGACTAAGTAAACTGTTGTAGTTTGCTTGTTTATGAACATATTTAGATCAAATTTGGAAAATGTATTCATTTCATACCAAATTATTACATTTTACAAAAAACACCTTTTTACCCTCCCTGTTGCAGCAAACCTAAGTACTCGTTAAACATTTATTTAAATAGGGAATAAATGGGATATTTCTAAGGAGACATTTTAGTGTAAATCCAATCAGGGAAATGGAAATTCGCTTAGGCTGCAGGTTTGCTGTGGCGGGGGTATTTTTAAGTGTCTTTCAGTTTGTTATCATGAATAAATAGTTTAAATTATCTTAACATGGGTTGTTTCCATGGAAACCTAATGTAAAACGGCAGCGTTTAGCAATGTTTTTAATTTTTTGTACTACTGGCCTTTTTTAGTGTGCTCTCGTGGCGAAACGGTTCGTCGTAGAAACAAACATTATATAGGAAACTTGTAGTAAATTGTGTCATCTTTAATTTTACATAGCAGGATGTTTTCAAAAACCCATACTTACCGAGATTTGCCAGAAAAACCAAAAAAAGTGCCCAAATTTTAAGGTTTTCCACAAAATAACCAATGTTCCGGGCAAAATATCTGTCAGCAAACCTCATATTCGTGTTCAGCGACCCAAAAAACATAAAGAAAAGTGATGATTAGGACTGTACCTAAACTTTCCGCTAACTCCCACTTTTATTCCTAATATGCCTAGCCTATTAGTAAATCAGCTGAAAATAAAAACCTATCCTTCTAAAATCAGTCAAGTATCAATGGCGGCTTCTGAGTTAACTTCTCAAACTAAAGGTGAATGCAAAGTTAATTTGAAGATTCTTGGTAACTCATACAAAAATGTGATTTTGTGCATTTTACCCAACCTCTGTTGTGATTTGATAATAGGTCATGATTTACTCAGTCGCCATTCTAAATTAGAACTCACATTAGGCGGACCCGAATCTCCTCTTGCTATAGTATCTGTAGCTGCTGCAAATGTACCACAAGCTTCACTATTTGAGCATATTTCACATGATTGTCACCCTATTTCTGTGAAATCTCGCCGTCATACAGTAACAGATTATCAGTTTATTTCAGAAGAAATTCGCTCACTATTGCATGAAGGGGTAATAGAACCAAGTATATCTCCATGGAGAGCTCAAGCTTTTGTTACCAGCTCCGAAAACCATAAGAAGCGTATGGTAATAGACTACTCTAACACTATAAACAGATTTACAAGTCTCGATGCTTATCCAATCCCAAATCTTGAAGAAATTGTCAATAAAGTTGCTAACTATGAAGTGTTTAGTGCCATTGATTTAAAAAGCGCTTACCATCAAATACCGATCAAGGCTGAAGATAAGCCTTTTACAGCTTTTGAAGCATGTGGTCAGCTGTATCAATTTACCAGAATTCCTTTTGGGGTGACAAATGGAGTTGCTGCATTCCAGAGAGTTATTGATGGCATAATCAGGGCAGAAAATCTTAATGACACATTTGCTTATTTAGATGACATAACAGTATGTGGTAAAACACAAGAGGAGCATGATAGGAACCTAAACAGGCTGATGACCGCTGCTAGCAAGTATAACTTGACTATTAATGAAAATAAATGTTCTTTTTCAATGAAATCTATTAGTCTCCTTGGATATACAATAAGCAACAAAACCATTAAGCCAGATTCTGATCGGCTTTTACCTCTAAAGAATTTCCCCTTGCCCACAAACGCATCATCCCTAAGAAGGGCAGTAGGAATGTTTTCCCATTTCTCAAGATATGTCCCACGATTTTCTGAAAAGATTAAAGTTCTGACAACCAGCTCTTTCCCTTTATCCGCAACGGCTATAAAGGCATTTAATGAACTGAAACAAGAGATTGAAAATGCCTCAATGAGTCCCATAAATCCTGATCTACCCTTCACTGTTGAGACTGATGCATCTGACACTGTAATAGCAGCAACACTGACCCAGGAAGGAAAACCTGTAGCCTTTTTCTCAAGAGGTCTGTCTCATAGTGAACTAAAGCACAGTTCGGTTGAAAAGGAAGCATATGCAATCGTGGAGTCAGTACGAAAATGGAGACACTATTTGCTAGGCAGACATTTCAAACTAATAACAGACCAGAAGTCTGTCTCTTTCATGTTCAACTCTAAGATATCGGGGAAAATTAAGAATGACAAAATCATGAGGTGGAGACTAGAACTATCAAGCTATAGTTATGATATTGTTTATAGACCTGGTAAACTGAATGTAGCTGCTGACTCTCTATCACGAGTGTGCTCGATGAGCGACAAAATGAACAGACTTCATCAATATCATGAAAGAATGTGTCATCCTGGTGAAACTCGTATGTATCATTGGATAAGAAGCAAAAATTTACCATACTCCCTTGATGAGGTAAGAAGAATGACTGCTTCCTGTAAGGTATGTTCTGAAGTAAAACCAAGATTCTTCAAACATGATGGAAAATTAATAAAAGCAACATTACCGTTTGAACGTCTTAGCCTGGATTTTAAGGGTCCTCTTCCCTCTTCTACAAGAAATCGGTATATGCTAACAATCATTGATGAGTACTCACGATTTCCATTTGCGTACCCCTGTCCTGATATGTCCTCTTCGACTGTTATTTGCAAACTGAAACAGTTATTTTCATTGTTCGGTACTCCTAGCTACATTCACTCCGATCAGGGATCTTCTTTTCTTTCAAAAGAACTAAAGGAGTTTCTCGCTTTAAACGACATTGTTTCTAGTCGGACTACTGCTTACAACCCTCAGTGTAATGGCCAGGTTGAGAGATATAATGGTATAATCTGGAGAACAGTAGAACTTGCCCTTAAGAACTATCAACTTGACGTGACAAAGTGGGAATTAGTTCTGGATGAAGCTCTTCACTCTATCCGATCCTTGCTTTGTACTGCCACGAATTGTACGCCACATGAACGAATGTTTGGACATCCCAGAAGATCACAAAATGGTGTTTCCACACCAACCTGGTTGATGACTCCTGGAAAAGTGTTGATGAGACGTCCTATCAGAAACTCTAAGTATGAACCAATAGTGCAGGAGGTGACATTGCTGGAAGGAAACTCTGATTACGCTCATGTACGATTGCCAGATGGGTGTGAGACAACAGTGTCTACACGCAACTTAGCTCCTTGTGGAAAACAAGCTGAGAGAACAAATTTTGATGATGAATCAACACCGGAGAACCACACAATGGAACTTAATAGCGATGTAAACTTAGTAGACGAGACCCAGGATGTGTCTCATCCCGATGCAGAGGTGATAGAAGAATCTGCAACTCAAGAGCCTCTACAAACCTTAAGGACTGATGAAACACAATCACAGAGACGAAGCTCAAGACAGAAGAAACTACCTTCTCACCTTAAAGACTTTAAATTATATTAGCGGGGAAGAATGTGATAGAAAATATTCCCAGCTGTTGTTGGACATTGTTATTTTATTTGTTTATGTTGAATGTTTGTAATCATTATTTCATTCTCTAGATTTAACTCTTACTTATGAATTCCATTACTTGAATTGTGTTAAATAAAGCCTACTCATTCAAGGCAAACAATCTTTATTCTTCAACAGTGTCTATTACTAATTCCATCATAGTTAGTTAAAGCAGTTCAAAAAATATAGTAAAGAAAAAGCTTCCAAGATTAATTAAAACATGTGATCATTGTTATTTTCCCAACCTTTCCTCAAAAAGTCTAAACTGAAACCCTAAACTAAAAATTATGGCTTCGACATTCCCTAGTTCTCAAAATTATCTTTCTTTCAGCACAAAAAATCATGAAAATCCGTCAAGTGGTTGATTCAGAATCGTGAAATAAAAAACCCCTGTCACGTTTTAATATATGTATATATGATGATGATGTATTGATAAGTGTATTTGTAAGAATACAAAAATGGCTGATGATTGATTTGATTGATTGAGAATGTAATTAGAGTGTGATTTGCGTAAAAGGTTTGCATGGCTACTCTCTCAAAACTGGATTTCTATGAATCTAATCTGTAACACTACTTATAACTTGCAGTGGATGTGTGTTCCATTCGCCTGGATGAATGAACACGTTGCATCACTCTCAGTAAAGGAGGACTGGATTGGATCTATAGACTCAGAGATGTACGGCTACTATGTGGACTACGGACTTCTTCTTGTATTTGGAGGTATTCCTTGGCAGGTCAGTGATCATCTCTGATTTGCGATTTGTTCACACTTTTGTTTTGTCTTTTTTTGCGGCCCGCTATTTTTATTTTTTGGCACGTTCAGTCCGGGTTGCACAGATTCTGTGTTCGCTGGGGTTGCCAGGAAGTCCATTATGTTGGTATGTCCTCGTCCTGCAAAACTGGTGGCAAGAAACCTATGCTTTCGTTTTTGGTCTGGCTTAGTGTGTTTAAATTTCAGGCAAGGATGACCATGCTATATTGCCTGTCCTCAGGACAAATACTTGTGACATTTTACAATAGCTATTCTATGGGGGTTTGGCCTTTTTCAAATTGTAAATAAATGTATGTCACTTTGATCCTTTGCAACCCAGTAATTGACATTTCAGTCTAATTACACCACATTTGGAGAATAATTAATCATAGACAAAACCCCAGTTTGGACAGTGTCAAAAGTTCCTCTTGAGACAGATAGTTTTGACTTCAAAATGATTCTAATGATGAAACTAATTTACACTGGCATCTCAATTAATTGTCATGAAGATGTTTGTTCTTCTAAATCAAAAACTGAGTACCGGTAGCAATAAGTTAAACATAATCTTGAAATATAGATTTGAAAAACCCAGCTAAGTATACATGAGAAATTTGTTGTATTTTAGGTATACTTCCAGCGAGTGTTGTCCTCAAAGTCTGCAGGCCGGGCACAGATCTTGTCTTACGTGGCAGCGTTTGGCTGCATCATTATGGCCATTCCACCAGTTCTGATCGGAGCTATTGCTAGAAATACAGGTTGGCAAACTTAAATAGGTAGCTCATGAATTTAATTTTTTTATACATTTACTTTTACAATTGGACTGTTTATTCATTGTATTAACTTTTTTTAAATAGATACAGTTTATAAAATGTATTGGGCCGCTGTTAGGGTTTCACTTTAAAACAAATTAGTGTATGTGAGAATATTTTCAAAAGAATAGAACGAGCCCAAGGAACTATCTATCTCACAAATTCTGAACAGATGGGATGTGTAAACTTCGTATATTAACTTTCCCCCACATATTCAGTTCTTATCAGTTAGTCAATGCGAGCGGACGTCCTACCGGTTTCCTCGTTGTGAGTCAGTGTTTCGGCCTGCCTGCCCGTATCAACCTGTCGTTTGCTTGGAATATACATGTATTTCTTTTTCGTCTGCTTGAAAGGAATATAAATTTAATATTCCTATTTTTGCTTTGTAGTTTGTTTTATTTTATCGTCGTGTTGGCTCTTTTTTCCCTCAACAATGAACTGCGCTAGGTGCAACCGTGACATCGCGAACGCAAAAGACGTAATTAAGTGCGTGGACTGTGGTGCAGTGTTTCACGCGGCGTGTTGTCGCATCCGCACCGTGGCCAAGTTGAACGCGATGTCATTACGTAGTGTGTCGGCGTGGAAATGTGACGAGTGTGTACAGGACTCTACATCGACCGTCAGCAACAAGTCCGAACCTGAAGATACCAAGGTGACAGATCTGCTTGTGTCAATGAAAAAATACATGGAGCAACATTTTGAGACAATCGAGAAGCAACTGGAGACGCTTCAGACCTCACAAGAAGAATTAAAGTGCAGAATTGCTGACATCGAATCTGAAAACGTGCTTTTGAAGGCGGAATGCGAGGATGTTAAGAAAGATAACGTATTGTTGAGAGATAAGGTTAGCTGTCTGGAAAGCGAAGTAGCCGAACTGCAGCAATACTCCAGGAATCATAATTTAGAAATTAGAGGGATCCCGCCAACGAGAGAAGAGGACGTCTACAAGGTTCTACAGGCTGTAGCACGTGCCTTGGGTGTCGGTTTTAGCCGAGATTCTATCTCTGCGGCCCACAGACTCCCTACTCCGAGAGGAAAGAAGTTTTACCCCAACATCGTGGTGCAGTTCATCTCAAGGTCCATCCGTGCCTCCTGGTTAGACGCTGCCAGACAAAAGAGGATCAACACGTCAGACCTGGCTACAACACTGCCTCCTGGACCAGTCTACGTCGTCGAACATCTGACCGTGCGAAATAAAGCCATTCTGGGCCAAGCCAAAAACCATGTGAAAGAAGGACATCTCACCTACGCCTGGACCCGGGAGGGTAAAATCTTTATACGGAAGACGGCAGACTCCCGAGCTATCCGAGTGACGAACCTGGACGAGGTGGAGGAGGTCGCGGGGGCGAAGGACGGCGGCAGTGGTGAAGTTGTGAAGACAACAACAGAGACGGGACCACGCGGAACTCCGTGAAGTTGAAGTGCTGCTATAGGCCTGGACAAACTCTTTTTGGGAAACGTAAGCAGACTCGAAGCATGTCATTTTTATTACTAATATATATTTCATTTTATTTTATATGTTTATTGATTTATATAAATTATAAATTACCAACTTCCATTATTCACGTCAATAAACTCAAATATCTTTGAATAATCAACATCTAGGTCAATCTTCATACAGTAGTTATTAATTAATTTCACTCCACTAAACTTTCTGTAACTTTATTCTCGGAAAGTATGGCCAAGCCGATAGATCATTAATCTATCTTTTTATTTTACTTAAATATTTTTAAATATATATTTTTGTCTACAATCTTTTCTGCTTATCTGACATTTTTAATGATAGAGGATTAAAATTGTATTTTTATTTCACAACATGGATCCCAAAATAGTTTTTAAGAATTTAATCAATTTCTGTTGTAAAGCCAATTCATAAGTAAGATACGTATTTATGTTTGATTAAAATAAAACCGTTCCGAAGCGCAATCTGATCGCTCTTTATACAGTTTTAGATAGTTTGTTGTCATTTAGTTAAGTCTGTTGCTGGTAATGTTTCATTAATAATTAAGTTTAAGACGATTTAGTTAGTGATTTTATACCACTTTTCTTGTAAATCGGGCAGGTAGGGTTTTAATCTTCATAATATTTTTACTTTTTTCGCTGTAAGATGCAAAGCGAGGAGCTAGAAAATGTTGAAAATCTTTTAGAAGTAAATGAGTTTATTTATAATAATTTCAACAACTTTAATTTTTTCGAGGAGGTGGATTGTAATGTACAAAATAGTGTGTTGTTTCTTAATCTGAATATTAGGAGCTACAATAGGAATTTTGATGAGTTAATTGTTCTTTTAAATAATTATGATAAGAAATTTGGTATTATAGTTTTAACTGAGACTTGGACCAATGAAAGTTGTGTGCCTGTAAGTATGGATGGATATGATGTGTTTGTAAGTAAGGCTAGAAGGAATCAGAATGATGGTGTGATTGTGTATGTGAATAAATGCTTTGCTGTGAGTTGTGAGGAAGTGCGATTGTATGGTGCCACAACTATCAAATTAGACATATCGCTTGGCGGTGAGGGGCTGTCATTGTTGGCTGTTTATAGGAGCCCGTCGTCTGACCTTGAACCTTTTATCGACGATCTGGAGAGTTATCTGGATGATCGGTCCCTTTGCGGGCGGTGCTGGCTGGTTGGTGACCTCAATTGTTGCATTCTGCCTAACAATAAAAAAATATTGTGTCCCAGAGATATCTTGACGTTCTTTATACGGCAGGCTTTACACCATGTATTAATAACCCAACTCGAGTTACAGCTGATTCCAAGACCTGCATTGACCACATTTTTACCAACATAAAACATGTAAATACAGTTAAGTCAGCAATAATACACACTTCTATAACCGACCATTTTATAACTGTTGCATCGGCTGACTATAATCATTATAAGGTAACAAACAGATATTCCAACAAAAGCTTTACTTGTGTCGACTCAGAGGTCGCCCAGCGATTGTTGCGGTCACATGACTGGTCCTCGGTACTCGCTACTGAGGACGTCGATGTGGCCTGCGAGGAGTTTGTGCGACAGTTGCAGGAGATCACAAGTGCGGCTACTTCAAATAAATGTTTTTCTGCCAAAAAAACCAAATTAAAACCATGGATCACTGTTGGACTGGTTAATTCTATTCGTGTTAGGGATAAAATCAGTAAACAGTTGAAAAAACAACCTTTCAACCCGGCACTTAGATTACATTACATAAACTACAGGAACACTTTGAATACTGCAATCAAAAGTGCAAAAGAAAAATACTATAAGGATCAAATATCCGACTCATTAAATAACAAACGTCGCCTTTGGAAAAACATGATAGAAATTATGGGACTTAATAAAAAAAAGGACGATTTTCCTGTAAAACATTTTATACCAGATAACCAAACTTTAGAAGAGGACTCAATAAAAAAAATTGCTGATGCCTTTAATGACTACTACGTAGATGTAGGTGCCAACCTAGCTCGTGCTGTCCCTCAGGTTCTGGAGCCGGTAATCAACGATGACGATTTCCGGACGGATACCACTTTCCAGCTGTCGCCCGTGGGTGAGGCGGAGCTGTCAACTGTCGTTCGGGGTATGAGAGGGGAGTCTGCTCCTGGGGCTGATAACATTCCGGCAAAACTTATCAAAAATAACTTTGAAGAATTGAAATATCCACTTTTACATATCATTAATACCAGTTTTTCGCAGGGCACATTTCCAAAAATTTTAAAAGTAGGTAAAGTAGTTCCTATATTTAAGAATGGTGAAAAAATCAATTTATCAACTATCGTCCAATTACTTTGGCCAGTGTACTCGCTAAACTCATTGAAAAGTGTGTTAGAAAACAATTCGAAAACTACTTAACAAATTTTCAATTACTTTTTGATAAACAGTTTGGTTTCCGTACGGACAAAAATTTAAATGATGACCTTTTTTCTTTAACTAATAGTTTGCATGATTCTATTACTAAAAACAAAAAACCCTTGATTGTCTTTATAGATTTAGCTAAAGCCTTTGACACCGTTGACAGACGATTACTTCTTAATAAGTTGAAATGTATAGGGGTGAGAGGCGTCACTTTAAAATGGTTTGAAGATTATCTCGCCGAACGTTTCCAAATTGTCTCGATTTTAAACCAAAATAGTTCACAAAAACGAATTGATTATGGAGTTATCCAGGGTTCGACCTTGGGGCCTCTGTTATTTTTAATATACATAAATAACCTGGGCAAAATTAACTTAAACAAAGGGCAGATCTTTCTGTACGCCGACGACACGGCGCTCTTGTTCGAGGGCGACAGCTGGCTGGAGGTGTACATTAACGCCGAGCGCGGCCTTCTCACTGTCAAGCGATGGTTCGACCAGAATAAGCTAACTGTTAACTTATCAAAAACAAAATTCATGCCGATTTCACTAAGATCTGATTATGATCCTTTAGATCTAGATTTAAAATTGCATAGTTGTGGTGCCGAGATTGAATGTGACAAGTGTGAAAGTATTGAACGTGTGAATGAGTATAAGTATTTAGGGGTGATGTTTGATAGCCGGCTGAAATGGACTAGTCACATAAATCAAATTAGATGTAAACTACGTAAATTCATTTTTGTTTTTTCTAATATATCCAAAATTTTACCTCTTGATCTTTTAAAAAACATTTACCATGCATACATACAGTCTATTCTACAATTTGGGAATCTAGCGTGGGGTGGTGGCTATAAAAGTATTCTGGCCCCTATCGAAATTATTCAAAAAGCCATTATAAAAATTGCTCTACGGAAACCTCGCCGCTACCCCTCAGAATTTGTCTTTGACGAGTTCAGAGTTTTTAATCTTTCACAGCTTTATATAAGATCATTAATTATATACATTTTCAAAAACAAAAATTCTCTTTTTAAACAAACTTCTCACAACTATTCTACAAGATTTTGCTTTGAACACTGGGATAGAGTTACCTAAGATCACTAAAAGTATTAATAAAACGTCTCCCCAATACATTGCAACAGTTATTTTTTCTAAATTACCCACTCAGCTAAAAAATCCGGAGCCGTGCAGTCTGTTAAAATATAAAAAACTGGTAAATAAATGGTTAGTGGAACTTGGACGCGGGCATATCAACAGCTTGTTTGTGTCCATGTATTCCTTCTAAAGCCGTCATAGTTAAATACAACGATGAATGACTGTCAGGTTGGGATGTTTGTGTGTGGATGTGCATGCGTGTGAGTGTGAGTGAGAGGGAGCGAGTGAATGGTTCATAGGACATGCGGGGACAGAGCAGAGACGGCCTAACTAAAGGAACTGTGGGGCCAGCAGCCGCCTGATGTCCTGGTGCAACTGAGCAACTGAGCTGAAGTGTGTTGTGTGTTGTGTGTGTGCTGTTGTCTGTCTGTGTGTGTATGTCTGTGTGTGTGTGTGTGTGTGGTTTCCGAGTCTCAGTTGATACGTACGCGGTTTGTTTAGTATGTATAGTTTTGTTTTCGCCTTTATTTCCTATTGTGGTTCCTACAGTTTTAAAATTAATTTGTATTACCGTAGCTCAATGTGCAATCTTACTCCCTTCCAAAGTATGTAAAATAATAATTTTAGTTATTAATTAATTTTTATATCAATATGTAAGTTTGACTACTGGTGAAGCTCATTCCCCACACACAGGCTGTGCCTATGTGGGGAATAATCCATCTGTTTTGTACAACCCTATGTAACAATTTTTGTGTTTTGTGTTTTGATGGAATAAAGTATTTTTCATTCATTTTTCATTCATTTTTCATTTTCACTTTGAGTGTACTTTTTACAGCTTGGAACGAGACAGCCTATAAGGGTCCCTACCCGCTCACTACTCAGGAGACAAGCATGATCCTGCCGATGGTGCTGCAGTATCTGACTCCAGACTTTGTCTCCTTCTTCGGCCTTGGGGCTGTGTCTGCTGCCGTCATGTCATCAGCTGACTCCAGTGTCCTCTCCGCCAGCTCAATGTTTGCTCGCAACGTCTATAAACTTATCTTCAGACAACGAGTAAGTGAATAGGCTAATTTGGCAGGACACAACTCAGTACCTACCTGTAAGTTGAGTCCAGACTTTAAGTGACACTACAGTACAGAGCAGATGTAAAAACTAATTCTCTATTGAGACTTTAAGCTAGAGAGATGCTAAATGCAATTTAGTGCATTACATTAAGCAGGTATTTTACACCATTTTCAGTATATTATTATAATGGTAAGCAATTCATTTTTTGTTTTTTTGGAGGCTTTAATAAAATGGTGATTCTAAAACGTTTAAATATATCTTTTATAGCCTATATTGGTGTTTTTAAACCATCTCGCAGTACCAAATACAAACCAGTTTTCAATGTCTATCTAGGTGACTGAACCTGAACTACATTCTATCTTTTAATCCATCACTTTTGGCTTACCGTATACGGTATCTTTTATTTTTTCTGATTAATTTTAATGTTTCACTTATATAGGTATTTTAGTGTAGATACAACACATTTTTACCAAATTTCAACAAAGTACATCTCCTTACATCATTCGTCTACGGTTATAAAATGATCAGTATCAATGTGAGAATATTTTCAAAAGAACAGAACGGAATTCTGAACAGATGGGATGTGTATCTTTAACATATTTTTGTTGTGACTTCACTATATATGATGATTTTTCTAGGCTTCAGAAATGGAGATAATCTGGGTGATGCGAATATCCATCTTTGTTGTTGGGATTTTGTCTACCATCATGGCTCTGACCATCCCTTCAATCTATGGCTTATGGTAAGATACCTGCTACTTAATGTTATTTTTATTTCTATATAAGACAAGGGGACCCGTCCTCAAATTGTGCATTTTAATAGGAAAACTTGTTCCCGGGGAAAAACAAATAATGCTATCCCCCTTCAAGAATTTGTCAGCTTTAGATTCACACTATAAAGAGTGGTTTTCTTTCATCAATCAGGTTGCAATTATTTTAAAAGTAGCCTATTTAAATTCCGTTTACATAAACTATTTCGCCTCTTTTATTTACAACTTGACTGTGGTTAAACAAACAACGGAAGTATCCAGGGCTTAATTTCTAATTTGAGAAGTACCGGAGCCATGACTTACCGGGGGGTCCGGGGGTCCTCCCCCGGAAGATTTTTGTAAAAATTGCACTTGAATTGGTGCATTTTAAACACATTTGAGCATGGTTAAGAATGCACATATACAGCATTATATTATATACAAAATAGTAATATAACAGGTGTAAAAATTAAAGAAGTTTGCCAGCAACTAAGCAGAAGCACTTAGTATAGTATGCAGTGTATCCACACGACCAAAACAATAATCCCGCTAACTGGGTTGTAAAATGCCATTCCATGCAGTTTTTTATTATGAAAACTGTCGTTGTATTTCTCATGCAGTTTTTGTTATTTTGTTTATTTCTTCTGAGAGTTAAATTTGACATAGGCCTATATTACACATCCACTCCACTGTTCCAATCCAATCCAATCCAATCACGCAGCACGCAGTCAGTGGACTGAGATCATCGATCTGAACGAACACAGACTCAGTCAGTGGCAGTCGGCACCTGGTCAGCAGACGGCACTGTCGGCAGACTGGCTTACAAGTAGGAACACCGTTCCCCGTTGTATAATAAACTTTGAATACTTTGCCCTGAAGTAAAGATTCGGTATTTGACACGATTTTTACAAAGAATTGAAAACCATAAGTCAACAATTGAAAAATAAAAATACTATTTACAGCTAATTAAGATCGATTCAAAAATAAATTATCAATCCAGATAACAGGAGCTTCGCTCCAGTGTCCTGAGAAGTACCGGAGCTGCGCTCCGGTGTGCTCCGGCTGAAATTAAGCCCTGGAAGTATCACCTTTTAAATTACAATTAACATTTAAACCGTAATAAAGAAAGTTGGTTAGCATAATTGGATCTTTGAAAATGGACTCTAGAAATAAATCAAACCTGAGGGAGCGAAGCCCTGAAGAGAATTACATTTTTAATTACTATTTGCAGGTGGGCGGAATTGGGACGTTACGGGGAAAACCCTTATTGTAATAAGTATATTATATATATTTTCATCAAACACAGAGTAGAAACATTTATAGTTTATATTTAAATATGGTGCTTTATACAATGGTCATCTGTGAAATCCAACAATCTTCCATTACGTCCAACCGAAGTGAACCAAATGTACAACAGTGTCATGTAGGCCGTCAGTTAGATCTTGAGAAAAGTCAGAAGCTTTTTGATGTTTTAAACTGGATCCAGCTGCCCCTGATCACAACTCTCTTAGTAAATGGCCCTGGCTCAAAACACATCTGATCAGTATTAAAGCTGTCACTTCATTCATTTAACCAACACTCATCATTTACTCATCTTCACCTTCAATTATATTTCAATATTATTTTTCTTATGTCACGAAATTGGTAGCGTAATTTACTTTTGTTCATAACATGTTGTATCATTATTATTACTATTATTATTATTATATAGTCGTTAACTATAAGAAAGGACCGTGAGGTCCTAAGTTCGCCTCAATTAAGAAGCATTTTCATTTCATTAGAAATACCGGTTTTCTTTTTTTTCTAATACACCCACTACTATTCTAGTCGGTTCCAGCCGAATGTGATAATCTGTCTCCTCATAGTACTGTAGCCACAAACTATGCAAGAGAATATTTACACTCCTGACAGACATTAACTAACAACTGTCATGATATTCCCTTTTTTCTATAAAATCGTAGACGTTTTGAAATCCCTTATTAAATGGCAGGATTGATGTTAGATCAAATTGTAAGACAAACGTCGTGTTTCTTACTTCACTCACTACGATTTAAACTTCTAGGGCTGAGCGTAGTCTTTGATAGTCTTATATGAATTTGTATTTTTATGGATTTATCAAAAGCATTCGATAGCATATTTCAAGAAGTTCTTTTACATAAATTAAACGCTTTATAGGTATTTTTAAGACTTTTTTAAATTGGTTTGGGTCATAGGTATCTTTCAGAAAGAGCAATATGTAGAAATATGTAGAAATAATGTCAAAAAACCAAAATATACTAACCATCAGGTATAGATCAGAAACTTTAACTATTAAACATGGAGTTGCTCAAGGCTCAATTTTTGGGCCTTTCATTACTATTTCTATGTTATGTCCAAGGAATGCCTTCAAAAAAAAATATTTTAGGAACAGAAAGTCAGTTGGTACTGGTACTTTATGCTGATGGGAACTAGGTAACAAGCTAAATCTGACCTTGACCTTGAAACAGCAAAACGCTTGAGAAATAGATATTTTAGTGTTGGTATATAAAATAGAATCACTTAAAATGACCAACATACACTATAATTGGCTAACAAAATTGCATCGCACCTTATGTTCTTTAGAAAAATGTCGTTGATAATGTTATGTAGTCTTTGACACTTTAAAAACTATTTATTTTGCACATATCCACTCTCACATGTGGTAAGGTTTAGCTGTTTATGGTGGTACAAGTAAAAACAACTTAGATACATTCTTGATATTTCAGAAGGAAGCTTTGAGAATTATATTAAATCTAGAAGACTAAATATCAGTGAAAAATAAATGTTCTGAGCTAAATATTTTGACGGTTTATGACCAATATATCCTTGAATGTACATATAATGTGTATTAGATATAAATATAATTAATTAGATCTTTGCATTAGTATTCATTCTCATAATACTAGACATAAGAACAATTTAAATTTAACCCAGCATAGACTTAGTTTTTTTTGTTTTTTTAAGCTTCTCATTTTTGCTCTTAATGTTTAAACCATTTACCTGAAAATTTAAAAAGCAAAATTAAAAACAAAAACTTTAAGCAGCTTAAATAGCTTTAAGAGAATTTGATGTACTTTACCATAAGATTCCTATTATTTAACTTTATTTTGTGACAACTTTATTATTGTGTTTATGTATGTATATACAATAAAATAATAAATTTGACTATTTGACTTTGACTTTGACTTATAGAGACGTGCTAAATGCTATTGATTCGACAATCTCTCTCTCTCTCTCTCTCTCTCTCAGTCACCCTGTGATCCACATGCAAAATTCATCAGGTGGCTGCTTCAAACAAGATTGCTGAATGACCGCAGTAGACTGCAAATGTTTACACCATCCAAATGTTTACAACTACTGAACCTCCAAATTCCCCACAACCAATCAAAATGTTTTATATGTCCATACACTTGACACCATTCACGTCCATCCATGTGGTGATGAACAAATATAGCGGTGGAGAACCGATTCAACAGAAATCTAATCACAGACCACAATTTATACTTGGCAGGAACTTAAATTTCTTTCACAACGTTTTTGAATTCAATCTAGAGACTAATTATTTGTCCAGTAGGGAATGGTGGTGGACAAGACGTTGGTCTCAGATTTTATCTGGCGTGCTTGGCTGCAAAAGGAGCTCGATGGAGACCTTAATTTATCAACAAACTTCTTATAAACTAATAACAAGTTCACAATGCTGTAAACAAGTATATAAATCTGGAGTGGATATTTAACCTTTTTGATTTGTTTGTGTTTTATTTATTAATTACTGTATAGTTTCAACATTAACACACTTGGTTTTACACAGGTCCATGTGCTCAGACCTGGTCTACTGCATCCTGTTCCCCCAGTTGTTGATGGTGGTACATTTCAAACACCACTGTAACACCTACGGCTCACTGGCTGCGTACATCATGGCTTTCCTGGTGCGAATGAGTGGTGGAGAACCTCTACTGGGTCTACCGGCCACTATACACTACCCCGGCTACGACTACGAGAATGAACGGCAACTCTTCCCATTCCGCACCATGGCTATGCTCGCATCTTTGATAACATTAGTTGGGGTGTCCGCTGGGACTAAGTGAGTAAAATCAGTTATGTCCCTACATCTATACTTATTTAATACGCAAGCAGGTTTTTTGTGACAATTACTCCTCCGAAACTACTGAACCGATTGACATGTTCTTGGTGTCATTGGAAAGAGCGTAACGTGAAGTTGTGCAGGAAACTTTCTTTTTAGGGAAATAATTAGAGGGTGAGGTGCTGGGGCCCTTTAAAGTTTCGTATTTCTCCATAAGATTAACATGGGAAACAATTATTGTTTTGAAACTCCAGCTGTTGTCAGAAATTAAATCTATATATTAATAGGCAAGCATGTTTCTTTAAAACCTTTTTTCTCAGCTCGTGTGCATCGTGGGGTAAATCTACGCATACCGTTAGAAAGCTATTTTCCTGTAGGTGTGCAGAATCCCTTTATAAATTTAAATAGGCTCAAAGATAAGCACAAAAAATGAGTTTAAAAATTTGAAAAAATTAACATGGATCTTATGCGTTGCCATGCTGGTGACGAAATAACAACGAAATATAAACAGAAAATCAAAACAAATAGATGAAACTCCAATCACATGTTTTATTTACAGTGTAGGGTGAAAATAGAGAAGTGAGTAAGTTTACATTACATATTTTTGGTCGAGTTTCGACCACTGGACGACCTCTCGTATTAATAATTGGTCTCCATGGAACACGATTACTAGAAAAATACCGGTATGGATCATAAACATAAACAAATGACGTTGTTGGCCCGAATCCTATACTAATATCATTGAACATATGTTTTGGCAATTCAATTTAAGCAATGTTAAATAATGTTTATTTTCGGGCCAAAAACGTCATTTGTTTATGTTTATGATCCATACCGGTATTTTTCTAGTAATCGTGACATGGAAGCATGTGAAAATTCACAATGTTTACATTTGCTTTGACATTTAAATGTAAACAACCAGAACTGTCAAATGCCTATTTCAAAATTTCAGACAGCTGATCCAAAAAAATTAAACAAAATGTGGTAGGTTTATTTAATCTTAAACTTTATGATGGATTAGTTATTATAAATCTATTTCAATGATTATGAAACTGATTTTTCCCGTTGCGAAGCAAAAATTAATAGTGAGAAGAAGAACATATGTTAATTGTAAACAGTCAATGTGTAAATTATCTATGTTGTATTAAAAATGTGTATAGTTTTGGATGTTGGTTTGTGTTTAATTATATAAGTTATTAGTTATTGAATTTTTATTTTAAGGATTTGGCATATGAGTAAGCCTATGATAAATAACACCATTTCAGAGTTCTGCCAGTTTTCGCCTAACTCTGTCCTGTAGAGTTTAAAGTAGCCTACACCTTATTGTCTACAAATTGGCTAAGTAACTTAATTACGGTACTTTATAAAAGCTGAGAGCCTTATTTTTACGTTGACTTAAATTGTAAGCTTACCGTACCTTTTCCCGTTCATGGGCAGTTTGATTGTAAAAAATTAACCCTTCAAACTAGAATAGGACTGTTATGTAAATTGTGAATATTTCCATTAGTTAATAATCTTTTAATTGACTCTTTTAAAATCATCGGAAATTATGACTGTTATTAGTTTTTAAACAAGTTATTTGTTTATAAATAACTCCTGTACTTCTTTGCATTTGCCCGATTTCGAGCAACATGTACACTAGTTACAATAAAACCTCTATCAATCTTCACCCATGGAACTAAGACTATTATGTTTAACTGAGTAGGTAGATGCACTCAAACTTACTTTACATCACTCACAAAGGGAAAATATTGTACTTGAATAAATTCTCATTCTTGCCATGTCAGATTCGCTTTGGTGTATTAAAGAATAAGACTTAGCTGAGTAGGAGTGTTTGTTCTGTAGTTCTAACTAGCCATTCACACATGTTCAGTGTGTAGTGATGTTACTGTTTGTTACAGACATGTGTTCGAGACAGGGATGTTGGCTCCAGGCTATGACTGGTTCCGTTGTGTTGTCAACATCCCAGAGGACGCCATGCATGTAGGAGAGCCGGCGGAGGGTGAACAGATGTCAGTGATGACTGGTGGGGTCGGCCGGGGCTACGGGGCCGCAACTATGGTTGGCAAGGTTAGTTTAGAGTTTATGTTTTTATAATGCACTAACAAGTCAATTAACACAATCGCTCACTGCATCTTTTTATAACCATTTTCCCGGTGTACCATTCCACGAGACAAAAAAATGTTGCGTACCTTTTCAAATCACAACTAAATTGGTCACGTAGAGTAACTTTTCACTTACTCACGTGGATGAAACTATGGATGGAATTAATATATCTTTTTCCCCTCAACTACGTAAACTCTTTTCCAAACATAACTATGAATCTTGTTCGAGAAGGTTATAATTTGGAAATTGATCCTATATTAAAGTCATAGTACTGAACACCATTCGGAAGAACTTTAATTTGATCACATTACTTGGTTGCTATTATTTCAGTCCAGTCACTTTACTACATTAATAATCTCCTTCCTAGCTGTTCTAAGATCTTGTTTTGCCGATGGGCCATGAACTAATGCAACCCACCGACCCAAACAATTGTGACATGGAATAGTCATATTTAGGATGTCATAAGACCAGTGGTACTCTTACTGCACGTTATGAGATATTAGATTTCTTTAAATCATATTTGTAACTAGCTGTTACCCACGGGCTCCACCCCGTTTTACTACATTAGTATTAATAAAACTATTGATTGGTTAAGTTAAGATGAAATAAACTAAACAGAATACAGTAATGGTTATGCAAACAAATAATAACAGCTGAGGTATTTTTTAACATTAGGTAACTGGAAAGTTCCTTTTGGAAAGCAATTACGACCTTATAGGGCAGGTTATGAAATAATGAATAATTTTGCGCAAGGTTTCTCGTCATGACGAACATTTATATGGTTTATGGGGGTGTGACTTGTAGTTTTCTCAAAAGTTCATGGATACTTTTGACTTTATATATAGATTCATTCATTCATTCATTCATTCGTTATTGCATATTACCGTGCAACCGAATTAGCGTTGGTATTCTATAATGCCTGAATCATCGAGATGGATTGCAAGCTAATATTGTGTTTGCGTGTTAGATAGATCTAAATTAGATACAGCATGACATGAGGAGCGTATGTACTTTATTCAACAAAATATTTGTAAGGACCTTATTCAATTACAGTTTTAGCGAATTTCCCTATAGGGAAGTAGCTATTACCGTATGTCTCATGGTAAGACCTAGGCCCGGGACCGATTTACTTTTTCATTTTGATGTCCCCAGAGGCCAAAAACACCATTCGTTCAAATTTTTATATATCTATATATACATTCATTTGACAGTTAGTTCTGCTGGTTTACATTTTTAAACTTTGTAGGTTTGTTCTTTGTTACCATGGATACCATCAATCAATATTTACTTTTAAATCTGTCACCTCAAATTTTTGAAAGCCTACGGGGCAGAGCCCCAGGACAATATCGAAGCGGGAATAGTTCTATATGTATCCTCGGAGCAGTAGCTTCATTTGTGTGCAATTTGAGCTCAGTCGGTTCAGTAGTTTTTGAGATCACCTCATACAAACACACACACACACAGACACCAACTCTTCTTTATAATAGTATAGATAGATAGATAGATAGATATCAGTAATTACAATTACAGTAGAACCTCGATTAACCTTCACCCTCTGTTTTCTGTCACACCGCTACAGTACTTAGATTATTTTTAGGGGTGATTTTATTTCACTGTACAAACATTGAACACAAACATACAAAATAACAGTTCTGTATTAACCTTGTACCGTATGTAATAATATAATGTATTATCTTTGACTATTATCTAATAGACAATGGTATTATTCACTTGTACAGGATTTAATGTTTCCAGAACCGTTTAAATCAACTTACTGTACAGGTTTATAACAGTATTTCTGTTTTCCGTCCATTAGCTTAACCGTCACGCTCCTGGTCCTGAGCGTAATGGTTAATAGTATTGAGCAAATTATATTTTTCTTGAAATGTTTAAGGATGAGATGAATGGGCGTATCAACCCAGCTCTGGAGACGGATGATGATGACCCAGCACTGGACCTTGCGGACATGAAGCGACGAGGGACAGGAGGTGGAGGGGGAGGCAGTATGGTCCCAGGACAGACAACTCTGTAAACATCTGCCTATGACCACCTCTGTCTCATGGTGTACAGATTACCAACAACTTGAATACGCACAAGGTGTGTCCCTCAGAGTTAGCCCCAATATCTACTTCTTTAGTTAATAATACGTAAAACTGTTATTATTTTTCTTATGAACTTTTAAACGTAAATTTAAATTCACTCAAAGAGTTCTATCTCGGGGCCAATTAAAATAACCTGTTAAAAATTACCAAACCATTTTACACTGTTCAACTAAATTTATGACGAAAATCACTATTGTACTTGTCACAAAATAAAAAATGTATTTGTTTAACTCACACACTGGGGTAAAGAGAAAGGGTGCTTCGGCTGATGATACCTTGGTGAAATCAACACAACAAATATTAACTGCATAAAACAAATTTTTGTATGTTATGCACATCAGAGTTTAGAGGACAGAATATTGACACTTTTGACCTTATTGCAACATTTCTTTTAAAGAATAATATTTTTTTATATCCAAGCCATAAATCATTAAATATATAATATGATGAAATATTTTTAAATTGTGAAAAAAGCCCGGACTTTCTCTTCCTAACTTATGAATGATAAAGGGGTACGTCCCAGGGGTGGGGGGCAGTAAATGAAATATAGTTTTGAATTATCATACTTTGCAATGATAGCATACTATCCTTTAAAAACAGCCAGATGTGGTCAAAATGATTCATGCAATTTTTGATTGATGTACCTTGGATTGTAACAGTTAATTTATCTAGGCAAATTCCTCTTAGTTTATATCTGTTAGAGCATATTTTGTATAGTCTATAAATTGTATATCCTTAATGTAAAAATAATTGTGTACCATACTGTTAAGTTACCCGCTTTTTAGTGATTTAGTAAATGTATAATACAACTGTAACTAACAAGGCACCAGTTGTGAGGATGAAGATTATAGTATGTATAAGCTTGAGTATAGTCTAACTTTACATGTTAAAACTACAACATAACTTATTAGTGGCAAATGTTGATGCTCAACTCAACCATCAAACTTTAATCATAAAAATGTTTAGTAAGTTCAAACTCTAAATATAATTGAAGTGGAAAACCAAGGAAAAATTCAGTTTCCTAAAACAATATAAGTCCAGCATAATGTAATTGTTATTCAAGTTTTTCAGTACCCGGTACTGTATATCAAAATTTTAAATATGACTAGTTACTGTACTATGAATTCCAAGCGGAGGATTAATAATACAGTTCAATGTTTCTTCTTCAGCTTACAACACTATTTTGTATGACTACTTTAAGTAGGTCTTGTCACAGTGATCAACTATGCGTCATGAGAGTGGTGAAGATTGAACTACCTTACATAGCAATAATTGCATTTGTTACTGTAATAGAAGAAATTAGGGGAGAAGTTTATTCCCCATGACCTGCTTGATATGTGTGTACAAATTATAAAACTATTAGTTTTCCTCAAATTATGTTAGAGTAAACTATTGAATTAAATAAATGAAGAGCATCAGTAAAACCATGTTGCTTAACATTGGTACTCAAACAGCAACTCAACTTAGTCCAGGCTGCTTACTTGTGTACCGTATGGAAATTTTGATCAAGTGAACGAGTAATAACTATATTATGGGACAAAAATTTAGTTTCTTGAAATTCATTTTTTTAATGAAACTGCTTTCCTTGGTTCTTAATGATTCTTTTCCGTGCTTTTAACCAAGCAATATCTTATAAAAAGTCAGATTATATAAATATATTATATAAGATGATTGGAAAGGTTGGTTAACTATCTTAAAAGATGTATAATTCAATGCATTATATCCATTAAAAACATTACCAAACGATTATATTTTATATGAGTCAAAACTATCTTATTTGTGTGATATAGTAAAAGTTGTTAAATTTTCTATGAATGTCTTTCTTGTTATTCTATCACAATATGTTTTAGATTGAAATTAAAATATAAAATAGTAACAAAATATTAAGTTAACATTGGAGTGCTGCCGATACTTAATTATCAAGTCTAGAAGATGAGACTGCCGATCATATCCTTCATAGACTATGTAAAATAGAGTTAATACGCTTTTATGTAATGCCGGTAGTTGTAATTATTGTAAATTTGTTAGATGTTAGTCTGTACAGAAACGAATACATATCATTATGTGCTCTAATTATGAAATCTTGGTAAGATCATTATCTACATCTAAACCAGTCTCATAAGATCTCTGAATGCCTTACACATATTGGTTGACATTATTTAAACCAGTGTGATTGGCTTGAGGGAACCAATCATCACGAATACATATCATTATACTTGATCCCTATTGGTCAATCTGTAAAGCAAATACTGATAAGCAACCTATACATATCGTATGTTGGCCTAAATGATTTATAGGTGTTGTTGACTTGTTCTGCCATGTACTGTGTTGCTTCCATACCATAATCTACTTGTAAACGTGTAATCAGTATTACAGAAGATATTATATTCATTGTTGCCAGAGTTTTCTTTTATCTTGCTGTTACTGTGCTTAAGATAATTCTATATGTTACTTATTTCTTGTAATGTTTTAAAGAGTCAAATGTTTTTATCCAACTTCATAAGCCCTAATATAAGTGATGGTAAAAAGTTAATGAAAGGTTAAGGTATGTGTCATTTTCAATTTATTAGTTGAATTATGTTTAAATCACCTGAGATCAAATGTCTATATAGTTGTTATGAATATTTTGTACTCCGACAATTACTTAAATGTAATATTTTATTATAGATTGTTATTAGTATATATGGTTAAAAAAGTAAAGTAGCGTTGAAATGGCTTTTGTAGCTAGGGTGCAAAATTATCTTTACAAAACATGTTACCAGCAAATATCATATTTTTACCAAACATACCAGAATATAAGAGGAAAAATAAATCCCTACTAAGTTGTTGAATTTTTTTAAGACTATGTTTAAAAAGATGTATATTTTTGGAAATTTATAAAATTACTCTTCAGTTTTAATTTAAAATGATCAAATATCCTATAATATTACTGTATACTAAAGATGTTTGTATATGTTAAAGGTTATGATATTAAATATTTTTGTTTAACGAAATAACAATGAGTTTTTTATGATTTGAGAAGTTTATAAAATAGTCTAAATTAAAATGTTTTTGTATTTTACTTATTTATAAGGCTAAGTTTTATTGGAAAGGGCTTATTGCCTGAGAATTAAGGAGTCAAAGGATAGTATAAGCAGGTGTACCTTAGAAATAGTAGGCGTCCCATTTCACTAAAGTAACACAAATCTGAACATTTGAGTTACAAGGGGCCAGTGGTCTCGGAATATTCAGTGTTCCCTTTGGTGTTACTTTAGTATATAAGAGGGTGTTTTTTTTCACATATAAAAAAGCCAACCCCTTTTTACTGCTTGCATTCTTTTTTTTTGTTTTTTTTAAGTACACACAATATAGGATATCATGATCTGTATGAGTTAAAATATCTTTCTTTTATTTTTCAGTTTCATTTTATGTCATGAGATTTTAACTTCTTGATCAGCATTAATCAGCGTAAATACAATGTTTTATGAGTTATTAGACGTATCTTTTATTTACTATCCCGAGATTTTTTTGTAGAATCTTTGTTGGTTATAGATTAGGCTGTGATTACTAAAACCTTATTTTTTGTCAATTGAAATGTGTTAAGATTTATCTTTGGGAGAGATAATTTAAATATATAAATGGTTAGAGATGGTGTTTTAACGGAAAATAATCGTCTAAAATGTTAAAAAAGCTTGTTAGGTATATAAATTTGAGTTAAGGTAATCCTAGTCAAAATACTGTATGTTTTGAAAATGAATTGTTGGCAACTTTAATAAGATTTGAACCAATATACTTTAAGTTTACATTAGTGAGGTTTCAATCACAACATAGTTAAAAATGCAAAGTTGATGTGGAAGAGAGAGCCTTGCTTCAAATTTAGATGACAGTTTCAGTTTAGAAATTAATGTAATTCACTTAAATTTGTTTATGATCAAATATAAAAGTCATCTTAAACGTTTAAAAAGTATAGTGGAGATTAGCAAATGAAATGCTGGAATTTTTATTTTTTTAAAACCTTATTTACTGCAGTACATTTTTTTTACTTTTGTCTAATGCATTCAACTTCAAGTTCATTATCCACGCACACATCATGTCCAAGATTAACTTGTAGTATTTTCATTTTTCTTGCAGTGATGTGGAAGGTTGTTAAGTAAAAAAGTGAATTCAGATGTATTTTTAAAATCAAATCATATCAAACAAAACATATTTTTATAAAAAAGCTCTGATATAATTTTTTGTAGGGTTATGAATTAGCCATAGAAAATATCTTGAGTTGGTCTTTAGATATGAAAAGTTGAATCCATACACATGTTCTACTCCTTCGATATCTCCCCACATCACTGGATACTTCAGATAATAATAAATGGTAAGGCTCCTTTTATAACTTAAAATTGTTCTTTATTTTTAAAACTGTCAATTACTACATTTTAAAATTAAAATGATACAAAATCTGTCTCTTAATTAAAATACTGTATAAGTAAATAAAGTATAATATAGTTGAATTAACTTAGGCTTGTTGTGTTTGAGAGATTTAGCTGTATTAGCAGCAGGTTAGTTAGGTAGTCCAGTAAATGAGCCTTACCTTCAGTGTTGCCACTATATCTATGTCAAAGTGTTACTTACTGACTCTAGTTGTATATAATGTGTTAGATCTAGTCTTGTTAGAAGCAAGGGGTTACCTCAGAATGCAATAAAATGTACTGTTCCATGTATGAAGTACCTCATTTTTTATAACCCTTTGTACATTCGACAAACTTATAAATGTCTACTACTATACAGTTAATGCTTGCTCCCTTGCGGTTTTGATAGATGTTGGTAACAGTATAATGGGAAATGGTGGCAAGCAGGCCTAGTAGTAAAGGGGGGACTTTGGTCCCCTACAACGCGGGGTCAGATCCTCCCAATCACTATATGATAATACCACGAATCTTAAGAAGAACCCATTTTCTTTCCTTCCATAGTTTTACAATATTACAACTATTTTCTTGATAGCCAAAATAATACAAACAATAACACAGCTTCTACAGATATTGCTGTAGCAACATGTGGTGTTTACCGTCCAGTGCTCCATTGCTAATAAAATAAATGGCATAATATTCAGCAGTGAATGACACTCCTCCCTTCTCCTGTATAAATTCAAAATTAACAACTGAAAATAAATTATTGCTGTTATACAGAATTATTCTGAACCAGTGTGGACGTTCGGTATCCAACTTTGGGAAACATCCAGTGAATCAAATCTTAACGTTGTCCAAAGATTCCAATCTAAAGTTCTAAGGCACATTCTCCAGGCACTATGGTTCATCAATATCAAAGTGCTTCACAGGGACAGTCGAATCCCAAAGACCAAAGAAGAAATTTCAAGGTTAAGTGCCGAATACTTGAAGATATTAGAAAGCCTACCTTGCTTTAAAGTTATTGGACAACAGCAACTGTGTATATATAGATTGAAAATATGCCATGTTTTGGACTTTAGTTATAGTTTTTAGAAATTTATGGACTTTAAACTTTGTAACAAAATATGGAAAGTTTTTTTTTCCTACAGTCACCCGACAAAGTTGGCTTCCTTGTATTGTTTATAGTACATAAAGCTGCTAATTGCTGCATATTTATACTTTGTCGTACGGTTTATACTTTGTCGTACGGTTTATACTTTGGCGTACGGTTTGTACTTTGGCGCACATCAGGATTCCAACGAAACAACACAAAACAGCCTGGTTCTATTATGCACGTAATCCATGTACGCTTGGAAATAGGTTGGCAACACTTAAAGATAATATTACTCTGAGCAGCTGATTGACTATTATAACTACGATTTAACCTGTCATTTCGTGTTTATAGTTTATGTTCTCTTTTCGGTATTTCTGAACTTTCTGGACTTTTCTTTTAAACGTTTTTTTAAAACATTCCTACGATTTTAATAAACAAGAAAATACCTTCAAAGAATTTTTTTTAGGCGCGGAAACCACTGCAAATTACAAAAATATACGGAACTATTTTCTTAAGCACATTGCTTGCCGAGGAAAAAATAGCGTAGTGATTTGGACCGGGGACTACTTTCTCTAGGGCACCTAGCTGAACCTAAAACGTGTTGTAGGTCTATATTGTTTGAAAGACTAATTATTTACCTATATGCTTTATAGTGACTGTAGGAAAAATACAGGGTGTTGAAAATGTCTGGAACCAACATTATATCTGGTGAGTGGTTAAAGAAAAACAACTGATATTTTGTATACGGATATACTATGGTTTTACCTATCTTTTGGTGCCTTATGAAATTTTTTACCACTTATAGGGAACGTCACGTAGCGCCACAAGTTTCATCTCAAAAGGACCACCCTAGCAAAAATGGCGACTGTTTGAAATTTAAAATTCAATTATTTTCAAAAACTTCCAACAGTCACCATTTTCGCTAGAGTGGTCCTTTTGAGATGGAACTTGTGGCTCCTTACTCAGAAAAAAATTGCCTTTAAAATGATGTATCATTTACCATAGGCTTCCATTAAAACTTTTTACTGCATCCTCCACAGGACGTTCCCTATAAGTGGTAAAAAATGTCATAAGGCACCAAAAGATAGGTAAAACCATAGTATATCCGTACACAAAATATCAGTTGTATTTCTTTAACCACTCACCAGATATAATGCTGGTTCCAGACATTTTCAACACCCTGTATAATGTGTAACTTGAGTGCAAAAGGCCTTTGCTGCACTCGAGATCAAGTAAACGTTGCTCTCGTGTGCAGCAAAGTGCCACTTTTCTCACTAATTACACAAATAACTATTTTTGGATAAAGACTAACTAACTGTATTTAAATTGTATCATATCTGCTTGATGTTCAATTTTGTCAAACCAAACAGGTGTAAATTAAATAAAATGTTATATGAAAAAAATTCTATTGTTTAGGTACAGTGGTAGAACATTATGGTTATGGTAGATGTGTTATACTATAGCATACAAGTACCGTAACTGTAATAAGCATTTCATACTTATACACCATACCCGTATCGTACGAAGGATGGGTAATCTGCTAGTAAAATATAAAAATATATAAGCCTATTATATTCTTTTGCCTATCATATCATTTCAATACTTGCTACTTTTCTACTTTCACTTAAAAAAAAATGTACCTTAAATCTTTAGAAAAGAAACTGAAATTGCCCAAAATAAACAGTATCAGCAATATGACACAGACTTTCTCCCATAAGCTTGTCAACCTTTAACATGGGTAAGCGGTGGGAGTAACTATGATATTTTATAGTGAAAATAACAAAAGTTGCAATCACTTTTGAACCGTAATTGTTTCAGCAATTTGCACAAGTTATTCACAAATTGCACTGTTTTGTCTGGAATTAAAAGGGCCATAACACGTTAGTTTTAATCAAAACCAGCTGTTTTCCTCAATTCCAATAGATTTTTCTATTTTATGGGGTTTTATAGGAAAATAACATAAGTAACAATAAATTATCAACAGAAATTTTCACGGAAATGGGGTTTGTACCATTTTGTTCAAAAGTACTACACTATGACATACAAAATGTTTATCAAAATTGTAAGGGTCATTTTTGAGAAAATATGATTTTTCCGTTTTTATGGGGAGGGGGCCGGACATAGCTCAGCGGCTCTCGGCCGTGAGCGTCAATTTAACATGGAGCGCAACTTAAAATTCCCGGTTTTCAGGACTATGTAGGCTTCTAAAATTTTTTTAAGAAACACAAAGCATAGAAAATATAAATAGTAATCAAGCTATTAACTATAAAAGTTACAATTCTGCTGCATAACCTTAATATCAGAAAAAGTAATTACTTCATTTCCCATAAGGATTTGATATTATTTTCTTCTTGATTATAAAATCACTGATTCGGTAAAAAAATATTAATCAAACGCCGTATTAAAGAGCATCTTTCCCTTAATGATTGTACTTTTACAAAAAGCAGTATTTCTATCTCCAACATTTTATTTTATATATTTGTTTTTAAATGCTTGCAAATTAGTCTTGATTGCCGACCGAGTTCTAGTTCGACGATGTCCCGACTGATGGCAGCAACGTCGTTCATATATCCCTTTCCGTTTTCTAGCAGGCCCGCCTTGTACGATTCAATTCAAACAGGCCACGTTTCTTCAACATATGGTTATACTGTATCCCCGAACTATTGAAACGATTAGCAAGAATTATTTTGTTTGTAATATTTATATAGGGCATCTAGAAATAAAATGTTCTTGAGAAAAAGAAATGTATTGATATATTGGAATAAATTAGATATGTGGATCAAACTACATAGTAAAACAAAGTTCAGTGCGACTAGAGTCTGCATATAAATAGGCTAGCTCAGTGTAATGCGATTAAACCTTCCTGGAACCATGTCGACCCTCTCGACCAGGGCTGCAATGTTGCCGAGCAAGCTAGTGACTCACGCATTATCCTGGAACTTTGTTGTCCCGTTAGCTTCTTTTGTAATCTGCATAGACCAAGTCCCGAATAGTCAGTTGCATTGTGCTGTTTGCCTCCGTCTAACAACTGAGTATTGGACCGGCTATTTTCTGTTCGGCTTTCCGTGTGACGTGTGTTTGCAGTCTATAACCTAGTAGTTTGTACAGTTACAATTACCTTTTTTGACAGACTAAGTTAGCTCGGTAGGTTTATTTTTAAGTTTTATTTGATACGTAGGCCTATACGTTTTTACTACGGTTGTTAGCGTTGTTACTCGTTAAGTGTTATCTGCACAATGGGTAAAACTCGACCACCTTTGTCAAAAAAGAAGAAAAAGCGAAGACTTGGAGCAGGATTACAACGGTTTTTCGAAGAGAGAAGGTAAACCTCATTAAATTATGTTGTTTCTTGTAGAAAATGGACACAATGCTGGATTGCAGACAAGACTTACACTGTGTAATTTAAAATTTAAACATGAAATAGTATATGTTTTAATACTGTGTATTAATTATCGAAAATTCATTATAACATCTGTATATTATTACAACAGTATATTTTGTACCTAGTGCTGAAAATCCTTTCAGCCCGTGGTACGTTGGCTATTTTTACCAACAATTTACACAAATTTTGCCCCTTTCTTGCTGCGATGACAGCTGGCATTTCGAACCTATACAACAATACGTAGCTTTAGAGTCCAATGGCTAAAAACATCGTAGTGTGGTGAAATTCCAAGGGTGTAGAAATTTAACTCGTATCAAGTAAGTAGGCTGAATATTTAGTAGGCCTATATGATTAATTGCAATATTTTAACTTGATATGTAATGGTTAAAATATACCTCGTCAGACAATCCTTAACATGTAACATGTATTTACGTGTTAAGGATTGTCGTCGAGGTATGTTTTAACCATTATGTCATACTAGCTGTTACCCACGGGCTTCAACCAGTTTGACTTCATAAGTAGCCTATTATAAAAAAACTATTGATTGGTTAAGTTAAGCTGAAATAAACATAACAGAATACAGCATTACAAACAAATAATCACAATAGATTTTAATAAGGTAATAAATTGAAAGAATAACATACAAATAAGAACAGCTGAGGTATTTTTAACATTAAGTATATGGAAAGTTCCCTTTGGAAAACAATTATGACCTTAAAGGGCAATTTATGAAAAAATGGATAATTTTGCGCAAGGTTTCTCGTCATGATGAACATTTTTAGTATATGTTATATTTATATTATATAATATATTATAGTATATGTTATATTATATTATATACATGTTATATTTATTGAAATTTTATTGCTGAAAAATCTAATTGTTTGCATATAATTTGAGTTTGTTGTTATCATTCGAAATATCTACCAATTCACAAATGATCACGTTGCCTATATGAACGTAATATATTGTTGGTTTTTAAATTTGTTTACTATGATATATGTGTATATCATAAATTCGTAATTTAACATGTTATATTTTTTGAAATTTTACTACTAAAAAATCAAATTGTTTGCATATAATTTGAGTTTGTTTTTATCAATCAAAATATCTACTAATTCTCAAATAATCTCGTTGCCTATATGGACGTAATATATTGTTGGTTGTTCAAAATGTTATCACTATTATATATGTATATATACTAAATTCCTAACTAAACATGTTATATTTATTGAAATTTTATTGCTTAAAATTCTAATTGTTTGCATATAATTTGAGTTTGTTTTTATAAATCAAAATATATACTAATTCTTAAATAATCATTGCCTATATGGACGTAATATATTGTTGGTTGTTCAAAAATATTTCACTTTGATATATGTAGGCTATATATACTAAATTCCTTATTATATATGTTCTATTTTTTGAAATGTTATTACTAAGTAGTTGTATATGAATTGTTTGCATATGATTTGAGTTAATTTATATTGAGTTTGAATTATAATAGTCACTTTGGTGGTCACAATGTCTGGGTTGTTTGATTCTTTGGAAGAAAGAAACAAACTGTGACAATTTAATTGAGCTTTTTTGTACGTGTTTACGTTAACTTTGAGAACGAGCGAATTACATTCCCTGGTGTTAAAATGTTATTTGTCTTTTATTGATTTTATAAAGAGCTTCATACCTTGTATAAGTCTGAAATTAGAAATATAATTTATTTTGAAGCTAGACCTAATAATAATGTTGAGTCTGATGTGAAATTTTGATACAAAAATGTAAGTAACAATAAAATACTCGATGCATTCAAAATTGTATATTATGATTTATAAGTTTTATTTTTGTGAGTAAAACCATTACGCCTTACTTGAGTACTTTACTTTGCCCTCATATTACTTTACTTGTTTACTAAATGTTATTTTTGCAAGCCGTTTGTTCCATTGTTAGATAATTTATCCGTTGCTTCTAAAAGCCTGTTTGTAGTATTACAGCTTATCTCATTAGTTCACGTGCTCCTATTGACTTATATTTTACATGTCTATCAAAATAATTGTTGGTACAGGATCAAATGTAAACTGTATTATATGTTTAAATGAATTAATATTGTTGTGTCATCAAGAGATGAACTTCTGTTAAAACAAAAACAAACTGTGCAATTATTCTACGATAATTGGGCTTACACAAAAACTGACAATACCATAACGCAATAGTAACCAGCTATAGCGCGAATGGTTGTCGAGTTCCTCAGCGCCCACACTACTCTGCCTTGTCGAAACTTTCGCTAGTTTTATTGTGTCAGCCCGAGTGGTCCTGACCCTTGGGGTAAACAACCCTACGTTTTTTGCCCTTCCTGAACGACCGGTCCGCCATTACGCCAAGATGGGATGAAAAACAAAATTGAAAAACAAGATTGGATGGGACCCAAAACAGATCTGAAACTCAAACATTTTGACGAAAACGATACTTTCCCCATATAGGCTACTATGTATAGGGGGAGAAAGTAAAAAGTAACAATCAAACTGTGACTGTCATATGAGCTAGTAACAAGAAACAATAAGCTTTTATTTCAGGTAAAACCTCTTGGACTATACTACCAAAATTGACAGGTGTGATTAGCCTATATTGCTTCAATCTTATGAGATAATAGGAATTTTTTGAAATATTATATGGAAACTATTCTACTTTTCAAATAATGATATTTAATCTAAAATCTTATTAAAGAATTTATAAAAAAAATTTTGTTGTGTCATTTTTGGGTTTCTTACATTCAGGATTCAGAAACAAAACACATAAATAGATTAATTATTTTATTACAAAAACTCCAAAAGTACTTTTAAAACAAAGTACTGTTGGATTGAACTATTTACAAATTACGCTTTGCTCGCAAAGGACAACTAAATACCTATGATAAACCTAACAGTTTGAGATCACTTGAATAAACATCCAAAGTAACAAACATAATATATATATATAACATCATATAATATTCATCTCATAACAATTTACAAACAAAATATTTTAACAGCCATCTTGTCTTGTTCTTACATATGCATCAACATATTTGGCACTTAAATAAGAAACAAAATGCCAACTATAACAGTAATACTGAACAACATCACAAGCTCATCATTAGTCATAATCTAATATTGTCACAGAAATAATTCTTACAAATTTATTGAGATTTATCAGAAGATCCAGCTTATCATAGATGTACATTTACATAATTAATTACATTTTTGTTAAACCAAGGAAATAAAATTCTAATTTTACATGCTTACGAAACAAAAGATAATTTACAAAGATATCTAATTTTCTTTAATAATATCAGGTACTGATTTATATTTGAGAAATTAGGTCACTACTATGACTTGGGTTTAAACCTAGACATGTAAAAATCACAATCTGTGCAATAGATGGCCGGATGTTGCACTTGTTTCTTACGACATAAGTTGCAAGGATTGCTCCTCAAGTGAGAAACTCCAGACGGTTGAATCGTCCTGTCAGGAATCTTCCCAGCAGCCTCTAGTTGCTTTGGATGGGGAGGTGGCTGATAAGGAGACTGCCTAGTAGTGGATCCTGTGTTGTACTGTTGGTTAGGATGTTGAGATTGATTGTTTGCTAACTGAGAATTTGGAGATTGTGTGTTTTGACTATAAAAGGGTTGTTGAAATTGGTAACCATTTGTCTGCTGGTGTTGTGAATGTCCATTGAGTTGAGGCTGATGGTTTGTTTGCAGGGAGTGACTGGAAGTAGGCACATGATGATAAACACTTTGGTTGTTTTGTTGTTGAGGGTGGTAGGGGGGATACTGATAAACCTGATTTCCCATTGCAGGGTTTACTTGTCCTTGGCCATTTATATGATTTTGAGATAGTTGACTGTGCCCGTGTACTTGGGAGTTTTGCTGCGACAATGCACCTTGAGTCTGGTCATGAAAATTGTTTGGATGGGGAACCCTCTGATATATTTCTGACCTAGAAGAAGGCGTGGATCCTTCCTTTTTAGGAGGTGGTGGATGCTGGTACTCTGGTGGAGGCAAGTCTTGTTGGTACATGGCTTGAGGCCTAGCTCTGACTGTGGTGTGTTGGTGAACCGGTGGGTTGCTGACAAATCTTGTATTTTGTTCAGCAGGCATATTGAACTGATTTCTTAAGGATCCATTTTGAACTTGATTGAAAGGAGGGTGGACGTAGCGGTTTTCCCCTTGAGGAGCAACTGAGCTATCTTTGTATTGCTGCGTGTTTAATGGTGCACTCACTTTTCTATTGTCAAGACTGTGACTGTTAGCAAACTGTTGATGATTCGACTGTCTACTCATCATAGGCGACTGCTGTGGGAGGCCGTTCTGGGGCAAAGACATTTGAGATACAGTTTGTGCAGATCTACTACTATTTGGATTATTTTGAAGATGAGGGACGTGTTGGTAAGGTGAGTTCATTACCGATTGACTTTGATTAACAGGCACCTGTTGATAGGGGGAAGAAACAGGAGTTTGTGCTGATTGTTGTAATGTAGGGTAATCAGCTGATGCAACATAGCGATGTTCGTTATGAGATTGCTCTGATTGGTTCATTTGTGGGTTCGGAGGGTATGAAAACTGAGTGGGATTCAAATGAGGACTTGACTGCATTTGATAGCTTGGAGATAGATGAGCTTGGGCAGAATATTGTGGGGAATAGCTCTGATTAGTTTGTAAATTTTGATGATAAATTTGCTGATTGTTTTGAGGAGGTTGTTGATATATTGGATGATTATTTTGTTGTGTCTGGTGATTATTGTGTTGATAATGTTGAAGAGTAGGTGATTTTGGTCCTGGAATCTGACTCATGATTGGCCTAGACAAAACCGGTGACTGCTGCACGGACCTTAATCCTGATGGTTGCTGAACTTGATTTAACCTGCTTACGTTGGCATGATGATCGTAATGGTTAGGTTCATTGCTACTGCTGTTATTTACTGAATACTGCATATTACTGTCGTTCATAGTGGGTGTTGAAATAGTAGTAGGAACGTTTCCCTGATATGTAAAGCGGTCTGAATTCATCCCAGCACTTGATGTGTTGTTCAATTTGTCGTTTGAATTTGAAATGGAAGCATTTTTAGGCACTAATTCATGGCAGTTCTTCTGAACGAGAGGTGCAGAAAGATCATGGTTCCTTTGACCATAGTTAGCAGAATCATTTCGTTTCAATGGAATAACTGATTGAATGGTAGTTTCTCTTACTTCTTGAGGAGTATCTTTGTGGAGTACAGAACGAAGGACTCTTTCCAATATAGGATTTGGTATGTAACTGTCGATTTCATCCTCGTCAGCTGTTGCTACCAACACAACTTGCTCACAAAACGTTACATTTTTCTTTTTCCCAGATTTTCTCCTAGGTTCATGGTTATCAAAATGCTGTTTGGAAAGACTTTGATTGCTACTAGACAAAGATGTATCTTTTCCAAGTTCTTTACATAGGCTACTGTCTCTACTGATATCAAATCCATTCATATGCGCTGTAATCAAACTAGAGTCATATGTCAAGGAGTTTATCATTGTATTATTATTTACCTGGGCATCATATGATATAGAATCGATTGGGCTCTCTAGAGAGGTTTTGTTCATTAGCTGTTGAACAGTTTCGGAATCTTTTCCAATTTTTATGTTTTCAAATCTTGATTTTAAATCTTTTACTGAAGCCATTTGCTGGTTACCTGCTGCAACATCATTCAAACCATTTTGTGGAGTTAATCGGTCTCTTGATTCATAGTGTTGAATAGAATCAATTGATTTTGTTGGGGTGGAAATTCGTGATCCACTGCTTACTGGACTTTCAGATTTACTATGTTGAGTGTAGCCATTCTTCCCTTTCAGAGCTGCTTGTTTGGCTTGAAGTTCTCTTAACCAAGTTTCACCACCAACAGCTCTGGCAGCCTCATAAGACTCTGCAGCAGCTGCAGCTTTGGCCTCGTTTTCAGCTAATATTTGAAGTCTCTTTTGCTGAACTTGGACTAACAAACTTGCAGGGGATGGAGGTCTAACAGAGCTTTGATCTACGTCTTGTGTAATGACTTCCGGTGGTGGTGGGGGGAAATCTTCACTGGCTTGGCGGGAATGAGCCACTGAATTGAGTGGAGAAGGATAAGGAGGCAGTGGAAACCCATTAGCATCACAAGGTACACCACTGTCTACTTCATCCCTTGCTGCTAATGGCGATTGTTCTTGGTGTACCTGAGCAGTTGTAACAACTGTATTAGACTGATTGGAACCTTGGAGAAGATAACCACCATTAGCATAAGTCACTGATTCTATCTTTTTAGTATCATTATATGAAGAGGCAGGTATGTATGGTAGTGACTGAGGTTCACGGCACCATTCACCAGTTCTTTCATTCTTAAGATTTTGTTTTGAATCATCAGAAGGGAGAGGAAATGGAGGTCTGTCAGACTTACTTAATTGAGAAGTTGTCCTCAAAGGTGGAGGAGGAGGAATCTTAGCCATTTGAAGGACTTTACTTCCATGGAAACTTTTCCTCATTAGCTTACTTCTTTCGAGATTTGGGTTGCCTGAGAACTCTAAATGTCCTTCTGATAAATAACCACTCAGTCCCATGGTCTTTTCTGTTTTCGACCCTACACTTGAATCGTCCTTAGTCAATGTTTTTGGATCATCTTTCATCACATTTTTAGGAGATACCTCGTCTTCTCTCAAGTCAGGCATGCTACGATTTTTCCTTTTAATTAAACCTCCCATGAGTAGTTTCCTTCTTATTTTATGTTGTTTCTTGTTCTGTTTTGGCTCTTCAACTTTTGTTTGTTTCTTGACTTCCTTTGACAAAGAGTTAGATACAAACTCTTTTTCCTTGGCTGTCTTATTGTTCCTCTCTTCACTTCTTGCTCGCTTTTCGCCATCCTTCTTTCCACTAAGTTTCGATCTACTGGAATACAGGCTCCTCCCTGGGCGATCATACATGAGGTACTCTTCATCTTCAACAGTTGTTTTTGTCTTTGTGGCACGTGAAAGAAGACCTTTCTTACTCTTGGGCAGGGTGGCATATATTTCAATATTCTTCGGAGCAGGCCGCTCTATAGTTATTACTGATGGTTCGCGTTGAATGTTCTTCGAGGATTGAGATGATAGAGGCATCGTATTAACAAGTAGCTCTCTGCTGTTCTGGCGAGAATGGTTGCCTTTATCTCTGGAGTTCTGTCTTGAATGGGATCCTGTCGAGCCACGGTTGCTACAGCCACTGCCTTCCCTGCTGTGTCTTCCTTCTGGATCTAAAACACAAAAGACATGTGTTATCTAATCGCGTCAAACATATAAATCACCACAAGACACAGGTGCTCAAATTGCACATATTAATAGGGTTCAAAACTTGTTTCAGAAGAAGAAGGAAATATCCTTTTTAATATTTTAAAAATTAAGTTTGTGTAAGACGATTTGGTCCGTGAAAACAACTACTAATTTACATTTAAATAAATTAAATTTTATATCTAAACCTTAAAATAAAGAGTAATTTTCCTACCACAATCAGGTTACAATTTTCAAAAAGTAGCACATCTATATATTTAATTTTGTAAGCGAATCGGTCCCCACAAAATATCTTGAGCTCGGTAAAAGGTACATGGCTGTTGAGGATTCATTTGAAAGCTTAAGGTCCAAGGACGTTAAGAAAAGTATCAGAAGTGTAAAAAATTACCACTGCTCTGTCCCACAGGCCGTCAAAAGATCCGGTCATTTTCTAATGGAAGTACTGCAACAGTGTTTCTATTTAAGCTGTTTTAAACATACCAGCTGATGTAAACCTTGCACATTTGTATGTTTTAAGTTAGTGTTCTGTTTTTAGGTTAGAATGGTAACGCAGTGCTGAAATGTATCGTGTTGAGGGAAGACTGCGTATAAATGTGTAAAAAAGTGTGTATTTCTTTTAAATTTGTATACATAACTATAAAGCAGCAATTGCTGCTGTGGTCCCCTAGTTCATTTTAAAATCCATTTTTTTAAACTGGTTTGTTACTTGTTTACAATCTAACTGTGATTAAACAATCAACTGAGCGATCAGCTGTTACATTACAATTCATAATTAAAACGTTATAAAGAGAGTTAATCAGCAACATTGAATCTTTGAAAGTGAACTCTAGTAAAAATCGAACATATTGTAAAATTTGGTTAAGTAAGACAACTGGAAGAGGGATGTTACAGAGAAAACTGTCCCTATATAAAGTATATAGATAGATTTAGTTATTCCTTATAATTGTTAGGGATTAGATTATTTAATTAAACTTCAAGTATAGAATACATTAGTAGGGAACTTGAATAGACTTAATATGCAAAAATACTCATGTAAGTAATTTTTAACCATATTCTCAACCAGTAAAAATTCAATAGATATTAACAAAGAAAAATAACAGAGAAAAGATTTCTTTGGGATATTTTTGGTACCTCTCTTTCTGTATAATATCCATCAATTCTAAAAGTCAAGAACCACGTAAAAAAATAGCACAGTACAAGCTTAGCAATGTAAAAGGATATAATTAATAACAATCCAAAGAAAAATAAGTCTTTTCAAATACACTACAAAAGGGATATGTTTCTACTGAACCATTTTGTACTGTGTCAGTGTCAGATGTACTTAGGAATGAGGAACTACATTACCGATTGCCTGGACATAAATATTCTACAACATTCCAAACAAAACTAAGTGAGTATTGTCAATGAGTAATAATTGTTGCTAATAATGTACGTTTGCATCATTACAATAGCCCTTACGTTTGTTGGGTTCCTCCAGTTTCTTGTGCAAGGAGCGTGCACGCATGATGCAGGTGTTGTGTTTCATACGGGCCGCGCTGGCCGTCTGAGGGTTGCTGTAGGGAGCGTCCATGGCCGCACGGGCCTTGTATGCAGCTGCATTACACAGAGACAGAGCAGTGACGAGGTCCTCAGCGGCTTCCGAGCGACCCAGCAACTCCTCCGCCTCAGCACACAACCTCTCACAGTCATCTGTAGCAAAACACAACACTCAGACATAACCTTAGGGGATAGATTACTATAGTGATAGGAGTTTTAACTAAATATCTTTTATAACAAGCCAATTAGGGTACCAGTAGTTTTAGATAATGACAACCAATTCATTCACAGGACTTGATTAATGGCCAGATTGCATACTGATAGGAGTCCATTTTCAATGGTGAGACATTTAAATACAAAATATAGATTCCTTTCAGTTTGGCTTGGTTAAAGAGTGCCTATTTGACAGAAATTGATAATTGTTGTAGGCACACTTTGATAGAGACTCAAATTCCATACGTCCATTTTTCTTCCAAAACTAACTTCGTACGTAGGAATGGGATATCTACTTCTATCATTAGTAATAACTCGTGTTTAAGTTAAAACTCGTTGTTAATGGTGACACTTAGCACTAAACTTAGGATAGAGCCAACATATTATCAAATTATAATTGATCCACTGCTTCTCTTTGTAAGGGGCATTTAGAAAATACTAACAAACATGTTTTATGGCTTTACACCTTGAAACAAGAATGCAGCCCTTAAAATAATTCTTTTACAATTTTCCTTGTTCAATAATTGGACTTTTACATTTATAGATTGTTTCTAGTATAGCGCTTACCTGTGCAAGAAGGCTTGTTTGAGCCATACTGTGAGTGGCCGACATGCAGTCCTCCTATTGGCGAGTGATGCCCTTCAGGTATCTGAGCCAACTGCAACACAATGTTGTCATGTAATGAACCTCTCTACTCTAGATATCATATAGTCAATTCTAGAATGTATCTCATCAGGTATAAAGTTTTGAAAAACTGCTACAATAAGTGAACAAAAATTAAACTTCTGCTATTTGTTAGCAGGATTTGTTAAGGAACAAATGTGTGTAGAATAAGGTACACATCACTATCCTGGTAATGATGGCTGTAGATCTGTAGTTAAGTTTTACTGGTATTGATGATATAAATTAACACAATTAGTGTTACCAGACATGAAAGTACAAGGAAGCATTTGAATAAAAAATCCTAATTTGCCAAATTTAATGATCTGAAAGCTTAATCTTCATAAAATAGTTGTTACAGCTAAAAAAAACAGCATTTTGATTAGTATAAAATACTAGAGTAAATTCTAATGTTGATACCACTATATTATCAAAACTATTAAATTGAATAAAATAATTAAAGCATTCAAAGAGTGGTAATTTATAAATAAAGCTTAGCAATGAAAGGTACTAGTTTTGAACATAAGTGATACCTGGAGGTTGTGCTTCAGAGTCTGCTGCAGAGGAAGGCTATCATTGGAGGAGAGAGAATAAGAGTCGTACCCTTGATCACACGGACCATCTGGCTGCATCTTCCCTCTGAAACATAACCACTTGTAAACATTGGCTACTATGTTTACTGTCATCATAAATATATTTCTTGGTCACATGTTTTTCACAAAAGCAAACTTAATAGAACAAAAATGTGCACAACCATAGAATATGTCAATGTCACAGACACTATTTTCTACCAAGAGGGATGTTTGAGTTGGGGAGAGGGAGGTCCTCAGTGTACCCAACTAATTCAGTTTTCTGCATCCAATATTAACCAAGAAATCTGTTTAAATACAAACTTTAATTCAATTCACTCACAAAAATCAATCAATTATCTGGGAATTGATATTGATTCACAATTAAATTGGCAAAATCACATTAAAAACCTATCAAAAAGACTACGTTCAGCAAAATTTGTTCTTACGATAATCAGGGATACTACTAATTTAAAAACACAAATAGCAGTATATCATGCATATTTTTCATCGATTATGAATTATGGAATTACTGTATGGGGCTCATCAAGTCAGGCCAAAAAAATATTTGTTCTTCAAAAGAGAGCAGTACGAATAATGGCCAGAGTTCCCAATAGAACACATTGTAAAGATTTATTTATTCAGTTTAAAATTTTGACCTTTGCTCTTATTCAAATTGACAAATTGGCATTAATGGTTAAAAGTGATTTCGATACATTCATGGACTGTCAACCATCTCATACACATAACACAAGATTCAAAAATATTATAAAACCAATTCAACATAGGCTTAAAATATTTCATTTATCTCCTCAGTATATAGGGCCAAAAGTTTACAATAAACTACCTGCTCGGATAAAAAACATTGCCTCAGTTTCTAAATTGAAATCATCTTTAACCCTTTGAGTGCCAACGTCCGGGGAACCGTCGTTTTAAAACGAGCCAAAAGTGCCGACGTCCGGCCGACCGGACGTTTTTAGAACGAGCCAAAAGTGCCAACGTCCGGCCGACCGGACGTTTCGTAATGATCGAACAGTTGTCATAACAACCGAATGGATACTCGGATTCTTTTAACCCATATATTAACATTGAGTCGAAAGTTACTAGATGCGATACATCGATTTTCGTTGGTCGAAATATCGAAAATTTGATTTTTACGAAATTTTAACCTAAAAATCGCCAGATCGCGCTCGGCATTTTTAGCGCGACCTTCGGGAAAAATCATCGGCATTTTTTGAGCGTTACTTTTATTTCTCGCCTGGCACTCTACGGGTTAAAAAGTTTCCTTTTGGAGAGGGCATTTTACTCACTAGAAGAATATTTTGGAGATGTGATTACAATTTGAAAGGAATTTTTTCTCCCATAGGTTTGTATTGATTGCTTTATTTGTTTTGTATTTTATAATGTAGATTTTTCAATGTATAATTTTATTAGACTTCATGACAAATCACCTGTCAAGAGAATTGATGTAATGTGATGATGTTAAATAAATAAATATCCCAGTGAAATATATATGTTTTGGACAGTGTAAAGTTTTATTTCTTGTGCTAGAGTACACTTTTTTCCATACATATAATCCTGCTATTTCCATAAAAATCTTTAAAACCTGTTCTAGGCCCTAGGCATATATATATCTGATTTATCCATCAGGATTTAGCTCAAATTAATTTTGACAATCTTTACACAAACCTGCAATTACCAGAACTGATTAAGTAATGTAGCAGTTAAGTATGATGTAGTGATAATTACCTGGGTAATTATTTAGATGAGGGTGACCAAGCGTCCTATAGTAAGTTATATATCATTAGAAACTAGATTTTTACCTGAAAATAATGGTGCAAAAATTTTTCTGCTGCCACAAAAACTGAATTTACTACGATTTTTTGAAGTTTATTTTAATGTTTTATTAGGAACATTGAATCTGCACTACAATGTTTACACTGTATAATCGAAGTTAATAGCACAATTCACATTTATTGATTGATTATGTGCCATTTTAATGTAAATATTACCCTCACAACCCACACTTAGAAAGGTAATTATGTTAATTTAATTAGGCTTTAACTTATGTATTAATTGATTAAAATTAATTAACATTAATAAACACCTCTAGTTCGGACATATTTAATCTGGATCTGGGGACTGGATTATGAAAATTGAAGAAGGAATTCATTTAGTTCTTCTCTTCACGTAACCGAATGGCTTAGCTTAGGTTTTGACCATGTAACCGTTATGTCCCATGAGGATAATAGTGTAGTGGCAGTTTTAATAAAATGAATAAACAACAAATTGACACTATTCTAACCTAACCTAACCAAACTTCTCGTACAGTTAAAAATTCGTTTATAAGTTGAAAAAGACATGTGAGGTTGGTAGGTTGGATGTTATGTGGACTCGTGACTGTATTAAGTCCTTTGAAGGTAGGTTAGATTAGGGAAGTTAAAGTTTAGGTTATAATGAATCGAGTTGTTGATTGATATTATCTCAAGACTGTTTATGCACTTTGTAAAAAGTACTACAAACACAATAAAAAATAGAAATTATTATTTATACCTCTTTGTATAAACTTACTCTTTGTCATATTAGGTTTCTTCTTCTTCCCTAGACGATCCTTTCAATTTCAATCGTTCATGTTTGTGTTGGTCAGTCAATTCACAGTAAAGTTATGGCGACAGAGACCAGCCGAAAAGAGGCATTACAGTAAAAAACTTTAAAAAATCGTAGTAAATTCAGTTTTTGTGGCAGCAGAAAAATTTTTGCACCATTATTTTCAGGTAAAAATCTAGTTTCTAATGATATATAACTTACTATAGAACGCTTGGTCACCCCCATCTAAACAATTTCCATTACCTGAGATGCATTTTTCCAACAATGTAGTGGTAGGGGTTCTCCAGTGAGGTGGATGATGACGAGGACGCGCTGTTGCGGTCGCCACTCCAGTTACCAGAGTCCCGCCTCACCAGCTGGGGGTGGGGAAAATTCTTGGTCCTGGGGGAATCCGGGGGTGTATCTCCAAACATGGCAGCCTGCAGATGGCTCAGATTCTGATAGTCATTGCCATTCAGCATCGGCCGCTACACACACATTGTGATACAGTTAGTTTTGTTTAGTTATCTAGAGAACTAGAGCACTGCAATTGTTGGTTTTTGTTTTACTGTGCTACAATATATATGGTTATGTGAACAGAAAGTGCTTGGTGAGAAAAATCTAACAGTGCTAAATAACTAAACAGTGTATGAGCTACTTGGAATGTTATTGTGATTATCCACCCCATTAGCATTTTAAGATTTTTAAGGCAACAGTCTAAACCCTGCTCTTGTTACTATTGCACGTCTACGTTTTGTTAGAAGTGGAAGCACAAATGGCTTGGAATCATTTGATGAGGAGAATTATAATCACTTGGCTACCCACACAAAGGTACTGTATTATTTGTCACATACAGGTTATTCTACCTATGATTTCTAAAGTAGAATTTAAGATGAGTAAATTATAAGGGTAGGGCCTATTTAAAACTGACAACAGTGACAACAAATACATTGTTCAACCATTCAAATATTGGAATCCTTGTTTGTTACTCTCACCATAGGTTTGAGGGTAGGCTCATGTTGGGTCTGGTCAGGGTTGGGAGTGACAGCTCTGCGCTGTGTAGCCAGTCCTAGTCCTGTAGGTTTCTCAGGGGAGGGGGTGAGAGAGCGACGGAGAGGTTGAGTAGTGACAGCAGTCAGTTGAGGTTTGGTCACACGAGTCACAGCCTTGGGAGCTGCTGATGTGTCGATGGGTGAACCTTCTGGCACTGCAAACAACAGCAGCAGTGGCTGGTACCTGCCTCTGCGGCACTTCTCCACCACCTGCACACCGACCATCTTATCACTCACTATTTCAGCAATCATATTTTACTAATTTATCACCATTATTCATTGCAGCATCTGTATATTTGGTGAATTTACCAGACTGAATTTGTTGGTGAAGACTTTTTCCAAGCAAATCATGAATAAAGAATATTGTCACTTAATGTATAGTTTACAAAAAATAAAGTGTATAAGGAAAGAAATTAATTTGATATTCACTCTTCAGTTATGGGTTGGATGGAATCAAATCTTTAATTTAGACATCTAGTTTAAACTGATGTGATGACACTAACCTGCTCCCATCTGGGGCCGACCTCCCTGACTGTGGCATCATCAAAGTATATCCACAGTCTCAGCTTGGTGTGGAAGAAGAAGGTTGAGTAGTGTTTGCCGTAGTAGGTGACGACCCCCACCAGCTCGTGTGAGGTGTGTGGTGATGTGGGAGGGGGTGTGGTGTGTGGAGTGTGGAACACGTCACTGAGCCGCAGTGAGGTGCGCAGGGTGTCCAGCAATGACATGATATGTTCCAGAGAGGGTCTCTCACTGTCCCAGACTATACCAACAGATACTATCTCTGGCCAGTTGGTCAGGGTCCTTCGGATCTGGATCTTGGCTCCACATGCACTCTATGTGCGGAAAGACAATATTGTAGTAAGTTATATAGACGAAATAGTTCCATAAACTGTATCAGGATCAAAAATATATTTTAAGAACATTCACAATTATAAACTTCAATACGATTATTAGTCTATTATTAAGGGCACAATTACTTTTATTATTACTGTATTAGTATTATTATTTTGTTCGCTGAGAATTCCAGTTGATCTGTGTTCTCCATAAGCAAATACTAATGAAGCGGAGTTCTAAACATAAAATTCTAGCTTCACTTGTCTACTTAACCTATCTGATGTCTCAACTAAAAGATTTATTTTGGTTGGTACTTGTATAGTGGGAAACAATAATTAGTTACTTACAGGACAATCTCGTATGTCTCCCATTCCTCCAGCGTTCTTGAGCAACTGGCCAAACAGATCAGGATGGGACGGACTGGGAATCTGCTTGGCTTGGGACGTCAGGGCAGACGCTGACACGTAGTGCACCATCTGATTAACATTGACATTATGTGATACAGTGGTGACATAATCGTTGCAGTGGCTTGTGAACAGGTTAAAACAAGAAAGAAAGGAAACTGAACATGTATCATCATGAGAGTATATTCATTTAACATTAAATAATTAGACTTTAATATGAGGATCTATGAATGAGAACCCTTTTATTGTGTTCATAAGAAGTTCATATACAGTATTAACAATGTCACATGTATCATGGCAAGACGGAACCAGAATATACACAAACAATTTATTGTTAAGCCAAGTTATTTTTGCAACAGCAAAACAATTTACGTAATTTAGCTATTGTACTTGATATATTCCTATCTGGAGACTTTATTGAGGTTTTTACCTATTCAAGATGAATAGAAAAATAGCCTTGGAAGAAAAGTGTAAAATAATGATTTTAACTGATGTACTCTATTTTATCTGCATATAAATCTTATGCAAGCACTAGTAAGCAGAGAGATTGACAGACCTGAGTGAAAGGTAGAGGTTCTGAGGTTGCTCCACAAGCTCCACATACACTCTGCTCTACCAGAGTCATGGCAAACTTCTGGTGAGGGATGCAGTGTCTGGCGTTGCACATGTCCTCCGACTCACCACAGGCAATGTGGTAGTGAATCCTCGTCAGAATATTCTCCTGAATATAACAACCATCGTTAGATCTTTCTACTAAAGAAAATATTTTTAAAAAGTATTAAAAAAGAAATTATTTTGAAGGACTATAGAGCTCTAGTAACAGTAGGATTATTTTGCCCTTTTGTATTAAATCGCCCGATATCGAGCGCATGCCAGCTCGAGGTTTACAGGTTTGTTTCTATCACTTTCAAATATTATAATAAGCACATCCATTAAAAGTAATTGATTTCAAAGCCTAAATGAACATATCGTAAGTATTTAAGACTATGTACTCTCACTAAGATGGCTGACAACAGTTTGTTTAATCTTGACACTTCATAAACAAAATACATTGTTACTTTATCAACTTATAAAATTGTAATAGGTTATTTTGTTATTTTTAATAAAGGAGCTTACAAAGCATTCAGCAGCATCATCCATGAAACCCAGTTGGAAGCGCTGCTGGTCAAAAAATGACTCTGCCAGGGCTCGGCGGAGGGCGTCGGGGGGAAGAGCCGTCTCATGACTGAACTGAAGTTGAGAGAACAGCTCCTGAAACATTGATAGGTGGCTAGAGAATGTGCATCAAACAATTTATTGTACAGTTGGATTCATATGGTCAACATGTGTATTGCTGAATGATAAGACACATACTGTGCATAAAACACGTATTTATATTATTTAGATGTGGAATATCACATTGATTTTCTTTAAGAACTATAAATCCTTATATATAATGTTAGTTATAAAAACATTAAGCCTAAAATGTAATTAATAGTAATGGAAGTTACTTGTAAAACAAGTTTTAATTATTAACAGCAATTAGAGAAAGATAATAGAGTAGAGAAAGAACCAAATAGACTGGCTTGACACAGGGACGAGAAGGGCCTGAGTAGAGGAGAGAGGATTACGATGCCTGTAGTACGATGCCGACACTGAGTGATGTTCCAGCATCATCACAAGATCACAGGACCTCAGTGTCAACAATACAACAATAGCAGCAATTGTTCCCACGGATGACCTCACATAGGCCTTGCAAGTCCTCCACTCAGCCTCTACGCTCTACACAGCTACAGCTTGGCTTTGTTCATCATTTTTACCATCACTATTTAATAATGACCATAAGATTCTTGAATAGTTTCTAAGTGTGCCTACTGCCTAACAGGAAAGTATAAAGTCTGTATTTGCTATTGAAATATTATTGTATTAAATTATAGCTGTTGTAGATGTGAATTCAAGATTCGGGATTATGCATTCAAAATGTGTGCAGCAAATAGGAATCATTTTAATTTCCTTGTAAACAACTTTAAAAAGAGTTTTCCAAAATTATGGATTTTAGCTTTCTTTTAAGACTGTATGATTTGGCTACTAGACTTTTCTCATGTCTGAGCAGTTCGGGTACCCATCATGGCCTCCATTACTGTAGTTGCTGTTTCAAGCAACACTGAAGCCAATTCTGGCACTTCCCATTGTCTAATCTAATGGAAGTGGAGGTTTCTCAGTTCACACAGCACTTCCTCTAACAAATCACACGTCACGCCCTCTGACTGATGACTCACCACAACAGGTGCACGTGGACCTTGTCCATCACCTCTACATTGCTACAGCCATGAACAGCTACAAGATCCAATGAGTTAAGCATCTTCAGCACAACAAATGTAATCTCTTCAATTTGGCTGCTCCCTATACCATTAACTTTGGTTGAACAATGAAACCGGGACTTAGCATTCAATTTAATATTGACTCCGCAGTAACACTAAATACAAAAATCCCTAAAAGATGCTAAATGTTAGTAACCTTAAAATGACAAAGTAACTCTCTGAAGTAGTTTTGTTTTAATAAAGCTTCAATGTTTCAATATAGGCGACCAAAGCAATTAGATCATTGATAACAATGTGGCATCACAACAATTCAATTTAACACAATAATGGAATTTAACACAATTTTTAACACTAAAAGACTTTGCATTCCAGATATCCATTTTTTTTTGTCACGAATGAATATATCCAAATAAGTTTCCCAATGCAGAAAGTAAGGCTTAACCGAACCCCACCTCAATTATTTGTTGTTTGGATGCCAAAGTGTCAGCCATCACTCAGTTATGCTAGGCGAGCTCTAGGCTGGCATTGAGCCAAACTTGTAGTGTTCTTTCTATTGAGTACCCGTATTCGTGATATTACTTGAATATTCATCAAGTTACAAATTACGCATGTTGAAACATTTTCCTACATGTTGGTATTCTAATGACATCGTGACAATGTTCCATATTGTTTTGTTATCATATCCCATATGGCGGTGTAAAAGACATTGAAGTAATACAACACATGATAATATAGACATATCTATGTCTGCAATAGTTTTTTTTTTTCATTTTCGCCTGATCCTTTAAAGTTTGAATTATTATGTTAAATCAAACAACGTCCCATAATTAATTACAACACGAACACAGTGACGCTTCGCGTTTACTGTGATCATAATACTTTGACGTTTTATTGGTTTTAAACTACACTACTTAAGAAATTCGAATCTCATGCTGAGGTAACGAACACTGAACTGGAAGAAGTGGCTTTTTTACAGATGTCGAAAACTTGTCGGGAACATACGACGGGCGGTTGCCCTTGGAACAACAGCTGGTCGGGCGTTGGTCCAGACAAAACAAGACTAAGACTACAAGAGTGCATCTCGTAAAACCAGCTGAGCGCTGGGCGGGAGACGGGGAGAGGAGAGGACTGCAGTGGTGAGTGAACTCCTGGATTGGCGCGCGCGGGAAGACGAGCTTGGTCGTGACAGTGCAAAACAAAGGGCTGATAGCAATCTGCAACCATGACAAGTAATAGGAATCGTGCAGCGGGAGAGCGGCAAACCGAGCCAGCACAAGACGACTCGGCGAAGTCGCAACTATCTTTTCGACCAAAAGATGAATGATACTGTATTTGAATCGCCTGACGATATGTTCCAATACCCATCGAACCAGCGTCATTAAATTCTTTGACACAAATAATACACAACTGCAGAGCTGTAATGGCTTTTTAACGACAACTTGCACCGAAGTAAGACGAAGACAAAACAATGATTTCACGGCTTAGCTGTAGTGATACGTTTACACTGTAGTGATTCCCTTTGTCAACAGCCAACAGGTCCCGCAAGGTGCTCCGCCTTTGATCACGCTCCATGACTCCGAGACAATCATTTCCTGTGTGATTAACCCGTGTCCACCGTCCACCTTCACGCACACACAACACTACAGCGAGAGACGATCAAGGTGGTCCGCAGACCATGGCCTAATGAATCATCACGCATTATCAGCTCCACCCAATTGTGTCATCGACCAAGTCCGGAAAGGAAAGATCTAAATGTCCCAATTGTATTTACTCAGAACTTGGACGGACTCGTGTGATGAAGCGATGAAGGCTGTTGGTGAAAGTGAAGATCCCGTGGCGGCACGACCACCACCACGTTATGAAACATGGACGTGGCATTTAAGTAAGTAGTATAGGTTATTATTTTATCAGACTTTATCTTCGACGAATTTTAGGACTGCACCAAAAATACGGTAGTGGATTTCGTCAATTCATATTTTTCAGGTAATGATGCAATAACGCCGGAACACTCTTCTTGTTAATAGTACTTTAAAACTAAACCCCAGGACGCAGTTTAAAACCGCTGATATACTGGAACCAGAAGTTCGGCCGCTTAGAAAGCGACCTCCTCCAGCATTGGTTTAGCATTAGCGCGCAGGTCGTTTTCTAAGCGGCCGAACTATAGTATGCACACCACAGCTGGCAAATCTAAACACAATCCTGTTATACACTCGGCCATCTCGTAAGTCACCGGGCGTGACCCTCCGTCTCCTTGACCCTCAGTCCCGACATTTGACCTCCGACCTCGCCACACGGCAATCACGTGGTCACCAGCCCCAGCTCTACGGTGCTCGGCAAGCATAGTGGCTCCACTGGTTTATACGAATTTAGAACTTGAAACATACTTGCAGGAATTGAAATAATTTTCAAAGAATCTTTACCATTCGATTTGTACGCTATTATATAGTTGATTGTTTAGAATTAATATAAAATGATTAATAGAAAACCGATCGTTGCAAGAACCGATGGAATAGTGGAAAGAACTTAAGTGCCATACACCGGCAGTTTGAACTACGTAGGCCTATGTAGATGAATCAATCGTTGTGAGGCGATGGGGTATCGATGGCCCCGGTATACAGAGCCCCAGGCCACCGGTCAAGGTCTGCCCTCCTCCCCCCCCCCCCTCATGAGGTGAGAGGCCGTGGCTCCAGCAACAGCAACAACTTCTCCTTCTCCCGCCAACCCAGCCGCTGCTTGTGGTTGTGCTGCTCCACCATTGCCATTGACTTTCCGTACTTCCCCTTCCCTGCTCTGATCATTCTTCACCTAATAATATCAAGAATGTGGCCATCAATAAGATAAACCAAAACCCGGTAAATCTTAAAATCCTGGCCAAAAATGTAAAGTCTTTATTTAATCCTTGGAATTCCAAGAAAACGAGACTATAGAAATGAACTGATCAAAGTTTATCGATGGTTGGGTCTTGGGATGAAGCCAGACTTTGCTAATTCGCTATGGACCACAGGCGCCATCTAATTACTTTCAGAAAACACTGATTTGCTCATGTACCGAATCCCGTAATGGTACTGTACTTCTTTCTACACGTCTATAACGACAGTACAGTTGGGGTACGGTGACTCATAGTTAACAAAAACTATACGGCACAAACATAGAACATTAGGAGGTTTCCGACAAGCATAGTTGTAGCGTTTAAAATATAGTTTGTGTTTAGCTGAGTTAATCAACGGCTACCTCGAGCTCTTTAATATTGCATTTAGTCATCAATTCAAATTTCCGTGTCAATACGGGCAGTAGTTGCAGCGGTACAGTAATGTGTACAAATGCAGGAATGTCTCCGCCACCCAGTTACCCAAGTAGGCCCGAGACTTTCTTCTCTTCCCCGACCTCCTTCGCTGTGGCACTTCCGATGTGGCCGTGAGAGTGTGCGTCACGGCGACGCTTCTTAGAACATCTGAATCACACTTCACCTGGTCAGTGGTGAATCAAAATATGATGGATCCTGCTCTGCCGGTCAACGTAACATTACCTAACAGTTAAAATGCCTCTAGATAGCCTGTTGCTCGAATTCGAGCCAAACTGCAACTTATAATAAAAGAATAAAGAACAAAAACATAAACAGCAAGGACCTCAATCAAAGAGTCACTTTAAAATTAGCAAAAGGCTGATTATAAAAATTAGGAAATTATTATGTTGCAAAAAATTATAAAAGTAATCTACAATGTTTAATAGATCCGCTCTCATACAGCTTTGGTTATCTGTTATGTACTGTAGGCGGGAACCCTCTATGCGCACGTATATGTCAACCACTTACTGTATAGTGTTAACCGAACAATAAAAAACAACATTAAAAAGAAATGGGATACACATTGTAAATTATCAAAAATTACTGTACTTAAGTGATGCCCTTAATATTCTGAGACGTATTTGCACATCTACGTGAAAATACATTTA